CTCCTCAGTTCTGAGGGGCCATGATTCTCCTTGCTCACCACAGCAGCTGGCTGGCTGGGCTCCCAGAAATGTGTTCAGGAGCTGCCCAAGCTGTGGGCTGCTCGGGGATGGTCTGGTGTCAGCACCAGCAGTGGAGAGAGTTGGTCTTAAGGATGCCTGGGAATCTGCCAGAGGGGAGACGTGGCTGAGCACGCAGAGCCAGCACTGCACTGGAGAATGCCTTCCATGGCTCTCGTGTGCTCTGTTCATGTTGAGACAAGAGTATCAGTTTTGGTCCCCTAAACCCAGGGACGCACAGAGCAAAGCGTAGTGGCTCCTGCCTGTCCATCCCAGCCAGTGGGAAGACAGAGATGGCAGGATCTGAGGCTAGAAGGCAGCCTGCCTGAAGCCAGGGACCGCTTTGACTGTCTGTGTTACTAGACTGTCCATGCACTTGCCACCAACCTGGCACTCGGGTTGCTGCTGGACTCTGAGGGACAGACTGTCCCCACCTAGATTAGTCTTACTTCTGCCTGCATAAATTAACTTGGAAGTGACTCCAAGGGAGGACAGGGTGTTGGGCCTAGACCTGGGGTGTCTGCAGCTGGAAAGATCTAAGGGAGGCCGAGGCAGAGCTGCAGGGGCCAGCGCCTTCCATTTCCTCTCTGCAGTGTTCCTTGTCAGGGAGCATTGCTGGTCTGTGACCAGATCTTAGCTGCCCTTCACTGAGCTGTCCTCAACTGTGTCAGTAGGATAACAGGCAACATCCATACATGGAAACCGTGCCGGGCAAAGGTCACAGCCAGCCTGCCTTTTGCTGGTCCTCGCCTTTGTCATAACAAGGACAGCAGATGGGTGACATGGGTTCCTTGGGGGATTCAAGTCCCAGTCAGCTTGAGGACCCAGTTTTGGGTCTGGAGGATGCTCACATCGCATCCTGACCGCGCCCTAGTCTTTGAGAGTGCAGCTTGCCCGGGTCCTGTTGGCTGAGCATTATCTCTGGGGCCAGACTGTCTAGTTATGGTCCAGGTTGGACAGCTATGGGCCAGCCCCTCACCAATGAGACCTCACTGTCCCCATCTGTATAAGGGGGACACTTACTCAGCTAACACAGTGGTCTGTGTCGTGTGGTGGCGCTGTTTAAAGGGCTCTTACACTTGAAAGGGTTTGAGCTAAAGGAAGGAAAACTCAGTTAAGGTCATCACCATCATCATAAAGCTTCACCCCACCCCCCCCCTCTGCACACACACACCCTTTCTGAGCCCTCTACACCACTCTCTGTCCATCCTGGCTGTCTGTCCAATCAGTTCTCCCTTTGATTGACATTAACCTTGTGCTTGTTTGGAAGAACTCTCTGCCTTCTCCTCTTGACTTTGAAGTTACTGAGCACTTGGCCTAACTCAGGGCATGTGCCTTGTGTTAGGGGGTCGGGAACCAGGAGGCTGCCCCGGGAGGGGTGGGAGGAGCAGCCAATTTCCTGCCTTGGCCCTGGGAGTGTGTCTGACCAGGCTTGAGGGAGGGAGGGCTCAGCTGCCCTGTAACCTCCACCTGCCTCATGGGCATCTGCCTTTCGCAGGCTTCCTAGACAGCTTGCCACATTCCTCGAGGGCTGTCTAAAACTGCTCAGAATTCAGCTGGCCACCCCTGGGGCTTCCTCCTAGTACTGAAGTCACTCCTCCTCCTTAGGGTGGAGTCCATGTCTCTGTCTGACAGAGGGAACCCTGGGAATGTTTCTTCTCGCCTGCTGGAGAATGAGAAGGCCAGAGATTGCCTGATTCCTATGGGGTGAGTGCCCACAGGAAGGTGTGCCTGCGTGTGCCCAGCCACTGATCTGCCTGTCCTCGACCAGACACCGGAGAGTTTTCTCCTCTGTGGCTGGCAGGACTAGCCTTGTCTTCTTCCTCTAGGTGTCATATGCTCTGTAGGACCTGGATATGGGACTAATGCTGCCCTTGGCTTTCCTTTCCTAAGCCCCGCCCCCACTCAACCCCAACCCCCCCCCCCCACACACACACTCACACACAGTCCTCTGTGATTCCACAAGTTTCCAAATGTGGCTCATCCTACATCACCCTGTCTGAGGTGCTATGGTAGCAGCCCCCAAAGCCTTGGAGGCCTCAAGAGTTGACAACGTGGACACTTGGATTCCTTACATGCAGGGGAGGGACTCAGCCTGTGAGATGCAGTGTGGGAGTCTGTGCCCTCTCTGCAGTGCCTTAGTTCTACAGCCATGACTGTGAGCTCTGCGCAGTGAGTGTTCAAGGTCAAGGGACTCTGGGGAGGCTGCTCATGTGAGGACTCCAGACTGACCTGGCTGTGTCCACATCCTGTGATTCCACCAGTACGTAGGAGAAACTGAGGCCAGTAGTACCCCCAGCCTCCCTCCAGCCCTTGTCTTAGGGCTGAGGCAGCTCATGCAGGGGACAGTTCCTTTTGTAGGCCCCTCATTCAGGCTGCTCTACCCTTTAAGAGGGTGACTTTGAAGTGTGAATGTGTGAGCATCTGTTGACATGGGTGCTTGATATCCATGATGAGCCAGGAGTCCCTGCAGCATGGACTGGAAGCTGTCTCTGACCTGGGTGTCCAGAGGTGCAGGCACAGGCCTTCAGTATGGCCCCACCCTGAGGCGAGCAGACCCACAGCCGCCCGCTTTGCTTATTCGTGTCTAGGATAACCTCGGAGAACGTGGCTGAGCGTTTCGGCATTTCTCGGCAGAAGCAGGATGCCTTCGCTCTGGCCTCCCAGCAGAAGTGAGTGGGGCTCGGGTGGAGGCTGGGTCATGGGGCCAGCAGAGTATCAGGGAGATGGGCTAGGGCACTGTCTTCCCGGATTACAGAATAGGTCTGAGTGTGGGGAGGTGACCCCAGGCAAAGCTGAGCTGCCATCAGAGAAATACAGAGCCTCAGATCTCTGGGCAGGCGAGGGTGGCCAGCCTAGTTGTATGAAGAGGAGACAGCGAGGAGAAGCAGCTAGAAGTCTGTGGTCCAGCTCCCTGGACCCCAAAACAGAAATGAGACACTGCCTCTCACAAGGCGAAAGGGGAGAAGTGGCTCTCAGAGTTGACCTCTGACCCCTACATGCATGCTGTGGTATGTGTGTGTATTCAAGCACGCATGCGTGTGCACACACACACATGCATGCACATGGGCTCATGCTCACACACACACACACACACACACACAATTTAATGTTAACTCCCTCCTCCCCTTTGAGGTGGGAATTAGACATGATCTAGAGCTGTGGGGCAGATGAAGAAAGGGACCTGGGTGGCCTCAGGCATGCTGTCACTGCCAGAAAGGAGGTGAGGGTCCTGAGGAATTCCTTCCAATCAGGGCTCTCCAAGGGCCAAGTACATTCCCAGACTTCACACCCTTCAGTTCCTGTAGGCTAGGGACAGGCAGGACGGAGCCCACACTTGCCTGCCTCTCACTGTCCATGGTGCTGGCAGGGCAGCGAGAGCCCAGAGCAGGGGCTGTTTCCAAGCTGAGATCGTGCCTGTGACAGCCACCATCCTTGATGACAAGGGCAACAAGAAATCCGTCACTGTGTCCCAGGATGAGGGTGTCCGCCCCAGCACCACCATGGAGGGCCTGGCCAAGCTGAAGCCTGCCTTCAAGGATGGAGGCTCTACCACAGCTGGTGCGTGTGGGCCAGGAATAGGGCAGGTGGAGGTGGCCTGCTCTGCTCTGAGACCTGGGGCTGACCGGGCCCCTTGGCAAGGAGCTGGCTCTCCTCAGCTCCGCCTGACGCCTCCCCGCTCCTCCCCTAGGAAACTCCAGTCAGGTGAGCGATGGGGCAGCTGCCGTCCTGCTGGCCCGGAGGTCCAAGGCTGAAGAATTGGGCCTTCCCGTCCTCGGGGTCCTGAGGTCCTATGCAGTGGTCGGCGTCCCTCCTGACATCATGGGCATCGGTCCTGCCTATGCCATCCCTGCAGCCTTGCAGAAAGCAGGTGAGGCGCTCCCTGTCACCCTGGACCTGGACTCTCCGTACCTGTGTCTGGACTGGGGTTGCTGGGTTTGACCCTGTGGGTGCTCTGGAAGGAAGGTGGGTCGGGCTAGCATCCCAAGTCCACGGCCTCCCTAACCTACCACTGGGGCCCACTGGCCTGGCACACCGTGGACCACCGGAGCCGTACGTGGGGTGGAGCCCAGAGGAAATCAGAGTCCTGCCCATGCCTGTGATCTCTGGTCTGAATCTTGCCTGCAGGGCTGACTGTGAATGACATAGACATCTTTGAGATCAATGAGGCCTTTGCAAGTCAGGTGAGCCCGGGTGTGCTGGTGGGATCCCTCGGGCCAGTGGCTCAGAGCGGATGGAGGCTTCAGCTCCCGCCCTGCTCCTTCCAGGCCCTCTACTGTGTGGAGAAGCTGGGGATTCCTGCAGAGAAGGTGAACCCCCTGGGGGTGCCATCGCCCTGGGCCACCCCCTGGGCTGCACCGGGGCAAGGCAGGTGGTCACGCTGCTCAATGAACTGAAGCGACGTGGGCGACGGTGAGGCTGCTCCCTGTGGAGTGTTGTGCGGTGTTTGGGCTGGGGTGTCTGGTCGCTGGGGCTTGGGGAGGTGAGAACTCACAGGCATTCCGAACTAGGGAAGTCGGGGTGGTGAGACCCGCTTAAAAGGCAGCACAACCTGTGGACGGTATCTGCCGCCTGGGCGTGTGTGTGTGCGTGTGCGTGTGTGTGTGTGTGTACGTGTGCGTGCGTGCGTGCATGTGTCTGTCTGTCTGTCTGGGGCTCAGTTCCCACAGATCTGCTGTGTTCATCTGTCCATGAGCCCTTGTAGCTGCAGCTCTGCCTGGTGAGGGCATGGGGTGGGGCCAGGCTCTGCCCAGCCAACGCAGGTTCTTTTCCCCAGGGCCTATGGAGTGGTGTCCATGTGCATCGGGACGGGGATGGGAGCCGCTGCTGTCTTTGAATACCCTGGGAACTGAGGCCCTGGCTGCAGGTGCTGCCCAGAGTCCTACAGTGGTGGCCAGAGAGGGACTCTACGGAAGCGTGGGACGCCCAGCCCTGGAGGGGTGTGTCACAGCACTTTAATTTAGAAAATGTGATCATCACAACAAGGGGATGGGTGGGCATTGGGCCACCCAGTCTGGTCCTCTCAGCTGGACCAGTGACACAGGGGACTCTTGACCACAGGACCGTGCCTATTTCTGTGGGACGGGAACCTCATGAAAGATGAATGTGATGGGCAAAGTGTATGTGTGTTATCTGATTTTGGTGGCAGTCATTGCACTCAGCGTCCAGCTCTTGCTTTGCTGGGATCTGTGGATCATCTTTGTAATGATATAAGTAAGCGTCATAGTCACCTGGGTGGTGGCCTATGCTGGTTAGCCCTGGGGAACTGTCGTGCGGGGCGTGGTTAGCTGACACCATTTCCTGGAAGGAGATCCCTCATCCGAGCCGGTGGTGTCCCTGCTTAGCAGCTCTGCCCCTCAACTCTGGGCCGGCCTGATGCTTTCGGCTGGGGTGGGGGGCTGAGGGCGGCAGAGCTCAGAACTGGTGGGGTATCACGTATTTCTCGTCGTAAGAGCCTCGGCCCCGCAGCCGCAGGGTGCAAGACTTCTCACTCAGCACACCTTCCACCACCATAGTGGACTCGTACAGCAGGCTGCTCCTGCGGAAGCCGGAGGTGAGCTTAGGCAGTGCCAGCCAGTGCCCAGGCCCCATGGGCGGTTCCCAGGGGGCAGGAGGCGGCTCTTACCTAGGGTTGAAGTATACCTGAAGGGGAATGGAAATTGGGGGTGAATTGGTGGGCCGGGCCTCCAGCAGCCCACTGCTCGGGGAGACCCCAAAGGCATTATCCTCGCAGGCTGGCTCCTCCTGTCCTACACCGGGAAGAAAGGAGGCCACACGTGGGCACAGGCTGCTCCAGACGTTGTCCCCCAGACCAGACTAGCCTCTCGGGTGCCACCTCTGCTCCTTCCAGCTTCCCAGGGCAGGGCAACCAGGAACCGGCTGACAGGTAGACTCCGGGAGTGGACTCAGGTGCCACCAGCCCTAGAGAGCCAGTCTATAGGGGTCTTGCTCAGTCCCGTCAAGGCGTGGCAGCCTGCGGCAGAGGACAGCGTACCCATCAGCACTGTCCAGTAGCTCAGGCAGCTGCTGAGGTTCATGAGGTAGACCTCCCGGCTGTGCTGTTGGTTCACAAAGCAGGTCCCGAAGTCCACCCAGCTGGTAGAGAGCTGCAGCGACGGCACAGCCACGATGGCCCGCAGGGGCACCTCCTGGGAGCCCGAGACTCGGTGAGGGATGAGGCACCCTTGGCCCCAACCCCCGCTGGGGTGTTGATCTGAACTGGGGTCCTGGGGCACAGGGACTCCCACCTCCCCCAAGTACTGACACGTCTGAACAGAGCTAGGGTGGCAGGCCGTTAGGCAGCGGGAGGTTGGCACTGCCCCCCCCACCCCGGCCAGAGGGACAGGGGGGCAGGGCACCCTGCAGGACCAGAGGGACACCTCAGCTTCTCTGCCAGCCTCCCTCCCGTGGAGCGCATGGTCTGCTTCCAGTCAGTCAGTCAGTCAGTCAGACGCCACCTGGCCTTCGTCACCCTGTCTCCCTCCTCCTGTGGGGTCCAGGGTACACTCTCTGGCCAAGTGGCCCAAGGCCTCTCAGAAGTTCACGAATGAATCAATCGCTCAGGCACCGCCATGGTCAACTTGTCTTTGGCCCCAGGTGCTGCCAGGTTGCAGGCTGCAGGGCCTCTGCCTCTACCTCCCTGCTTGTGCCCCGGCTGCACCTCAGCTCCACACTGACCCGTGCGCGCCACCTGCTCAGTGGCTCTCAAGGCCCTGCAGGGGTGAAGCGGTGTCCCTCAAAGCTTCCTTGGGGGTCACCATGCCCACCAATGAGGCTTCACCTGCCACCTCCTCCAGGAAGCACCCCGGATTTCCCCCTCCTGTCCCTCACCCTCGGGGCAGGCTGCCATCTTCCTGCCCGGGTCGGGTCGGGGGTGGGGGGGGGAGGAGGAAGCCTAGGGCGTGCCTGAACGGTGTGGTTGGTGAAGCATAGGCTCAGGTTCTGTGTGAACTCCATCTGTTTCTCCCCGTGCTCGCTCTGCTGAATGTCCACTCCAGGTAGCATCTGATCGGCTGGGAGCTTCTGGTAGGACAGTAGCTCCAGGGACAGAGAGAAGGACACGGCCACCTGAGCAGATGTAGACACAGCATCACCCAGGTCACTGAAGGCAGGGTCCTGTTCGGGGAGGCCCCCAGTCTGTGGGGCGGGCGGGTGAAGCCCAGAGAGGGCCAGCTGCCCAGCACATGGCTCAGCAGTGCCCCCATGTGGAGCACATGGTCCCCGGGCCCTGCACACACTCGCTGTGCGTGCGTGCGTGCGTGCGTGTGGCACCTGGCCAGCCCAGAGGCTGCCTTCTTTGTCCTCGGGAGTCTACTGAGGGGACCACACTTCTCAGGGTGGCCTGGGCTAGGTTGTGTGTGCCGGCCAAGGAAAGGCTTTTTGTTCTGAGGACACCAGGGAGGTCTGTTAGGGTCTGAAATGGGACATCCGTGGCCGTTTTTCCTTCCACAGTGCCTCTGGCTGCTGTGGGGAGTTGGGCTGTGGAACCTGAGTGGGCTGAGAACAGCAGACTGGGAACTGGGGTGGGACTGAGGCCAAACAGAGCAGGGCTTGGGCTCAGGCCCTCAAGAAGGAATCAGCCGAGGTATTTGCTACTAGTGCCGATGGGAAGCGCGGGACCGCCACCAAGCAACAGGTTGCCCCGGGGCTTGATTGGTCACGGGGGAGGGGAGTTCAGAGATCTGGAGGGCACGAGTGGCTGCTGGGATAAAATACCACTACATGGAGGAGACAGTGTGTGGGACGGGGTATGGTAACGGCGAATTCAGCTTTACGGGTGTGTTCAGATCTAGAACTAAACCAGTTCAGGTCAGGTGTCCGGGTACCATCTGCACCCACGGGGGACGATGCAAGGCCACTATAGGCTGTTCACTTCTTTCTGGAAGCATCTGGGTCACCCCTGAGCCTCCTGGGGAGCTCTAGTGGGATGGAGCCTCCCTTCCTCTTAGCGGTCTTAGCAGGGAGCCTGCGCAGAGCGGGCAAGAGCTTCCCAGTGCCATCTCCTGCAGCTCTGGCTCTGGCTGCCCCACCTCCCCAAGCAAGGCCTGGGAAGTCCCACCAGGCAACACGTGCAGACAGTGAAAGATACACCTGCGAGCCTGTGGCCGCTCAGGGAGACCCAGGAGGAGCTGAATTCGAGCACCCGGGATATGCAGAGCGGGACAGGCACTGAGCCGGGGCTCTATAGGCCGGCAACAGAAGGGTGAGGGGCTGCAAGGAGGCAGGAGGGGGAGGTGGCAGATGGAGGGTCTACAGTTTTGCTGTCCACCCTGCAGAGGCCTGTGCCCACCCAGGGGGCCACTATTTGAAGGACTGTGCGCTTGTTTTGTGCCTGGTGAGCGGTGCTCACCAGGATTCACTGGCCGCCACCAGGCCATCAGCGGTGGCACACAGGGACACACACTGGAGAATCTGGGCATGTTTCTGGAATGTATGTGGCTACTTGCAGAAGGTCCATCTGTGTGTAACGTGCAGAGGGACTACGTTATGTTGGAAGGGATATGTCTGGGGCAAGCACCTAGGACTGTCCTTTCATACCTGGTACCAAGATGGGAGCAGGGTGCATGTGTGTGCGCGTGCATGCGTGCGTGCGTGCGTGCGTGTGTGTGTGTGTGTGTGTGTGTGCGCGGGCGCGTGCACGCGCACGTGCGTGTGGCCTGTAGAGGTGGGGAGGGGGGCGGTGCACCCCTGCACTGACCAGCATGTTCTCCTGTGGTCGGAGTAGCAGCTGCTGGCCTGAGGATGCTACCTCCTCTTCTTCTTGATGACAAGCTCTGTCGTCCCAGCTGGCCCCATCTTGAGAAACGAAGAAGGGCCTGGAGACCAGGACCCGGAAGTAGTGCAGGATTTCCGTGGTGTTGATCAGTTTCAGGTGGCGGGTGGTGAGCCGGTCACTCAGCACCTGGGGCCACAGGGTGGAGGGGGTGAGAGGGGAAGCCACATGGCGGCGCATCTCTTCCTGCTCCTCAGGCCGTAGCTCTGGGAAAAGGACTCAAGAGCCTATGCCCCAGAAAGGACCCACGGGCACATGGGTGGTGCAAGCCCTTTGGCTGGTTCAGGGTGACAGCATACTCACCCCACAGCAGGGATTTTTCGGGATGAGGTCACTGGCCTGGCACCGGAATTCCAAGTAGCCACTGTTGTCCAGCTCGATGGTCAGCCTGTAGTGACAGGCACTACTCAGGCAGCCGGGACCTGGGTCCCCTGGCCGCACCTCCCTGCCCCTGCTGGCTCCTCCTCCCTCCTATGTCTGTCCAGGGAAGAGAGGTTCCTCTCTCAAGGGCATAGGGCTAGGGGAGGGAGATGCGGTTGACTCACTGTGCAAGCCTCACGTAGCCATTCAGATCTAGTCTCAGGGGGCCCACGGCAAACTCCTGAAGGCGGCGCATTCGACCTGGGATCTCTCTGTCTGTCTGCGGAGCCCAATCCATCCGGGGTCACTGGTGGCCCCCGGGGGGCTGAGCAGGCAGGGTGACTCGAGGGGGAGAGGAGGGGGCCACAGCACCCTCACCCCAGGTGGGAAGGCTCACCTCCTTATCCAAGCTCATGAAGCCCAGGGCATAGCCAGTACACCCCACCTTGTGCGGGACATCAGGGCCCAGCACCATGGGTGTGAAGGAGATATGCATGGTTCTGTTGCCTCCCGCTGGGATGACCTGGGGGGGGGACACAGCAGCCTCAGCCCCGCCCATGCTCAGCCAGGGCCAGGGCAGCTCCACCGGAGCAGAGCGTCCACCCCCTACCCACTCACCACCTGCTTGGGGCTGATACGGTACACGCTATCGGAGGGCTCCCCGTCATGCCCCTGCAGGATGACTGAGATGATCTGCTCTTCAGCCCTGGTGCTGCAGCTACCCTGTTACCAAAGACACCCCGAAGCTCGAGTGGGCTCGAGCTGACCCGCGGGTCTCACACGCCCTGCACTTCCGCTCACCGATGAGGGAACCGCATGGCTAGACACTGACACACTGGAGAGACTTGGGGACTCTGGTGAGCTGGCCTCAGGGGTCTCGGGGCACAGGAGCTCATTCCCAGCTTGGTCCAGCAGTGGGAAGGGTGGCCCGTAGAACACGAGCAGCTCCAGCAGCCGATCTTCCTTTTCTTCTGGGACATAGGTCGCCCAGTCTAGGCGGATATCTGGGGGGGGGGGCATGGAGGAAAAGGAGAGCGGGCGTCTTCTCCTGGCCTTCACCTCCGTGGTCTCCCGTACTCATGGCGGACGGGGACCTCACTATTTTTATAATGCCACCATTTTAGGGAGCAGTTCTTGCGGAGTGGGAAGAAGGCTGGGTTGGTCAGGTGCTCGCTGTGTGTTGGTTAGTGTCTGTCAACATGCCCCAAACCAGAGGTGTGTGTAGGAAGAGGAGACCCCACTTGAGAAGCAGCCTCCATCAGCTTGGCCTGTGCGCATGTCTGTGAGGCATTTTCTCGTTAGTGATTGCTGTGGGAGGGCCCTGGGCAAGCTCATCCCTGGGCAGGGTAGCAGATCACCAGGTGAGTGTGCCCAGAGGAGCAAGCCTGTGAGCAGCTGCTCCTCCACTGTCTCTGCTCCTGCTCACTCCTGTCTCCAGACCCCTGCCCTGCCTTTCCTTGGTGATGGACTGTTAGCAACGAAGTGAAGCAAGCCCTCTCCTTCCCGGGTTGGTTTTGCTTTGCACAGTGTTTCGTCACACCAGCAGAAAGCAAACTAGGACACCATACACACGAGGACTTGACTCTGGACCACAGCACAGCGTGAACAGCTGGGTGTGGTGGCACACACTTGTAACCCCAGCTCTGAGGAGGCGGAGCCAGGCCTGGGGGTTGCTGAGCCAGTCTAGGTTACCTGGGGACTCCTGGGACAGTGACAGACCCTATTTCAAGCGGCAAGGTGGATGGCACCTGAGGAGCAGCACCAAGGCCATCTTCTGGGTTCTCCACACCTGGGTAGTCTTATGAGCACACCTGAACACATATGCACTCATACACGTGAACACGCATGTGCAACACACACACACACACACACACACACAAACAGGAACACAAGTAGTTCACAGGCTTACGCCACCTAGCTCAGTTACCCGAAGCCCTCATGATTGGTCACAAGGCCAGTCTTCATGTCCACATCCCTCAACCTAGGCTCTGCATGCTTCCTGCAGCCTCGGGCCCCTTTGGTTTGTCTCTGATGGTCCCATGCCTTCCACCGTCTCCACACCCATCAGTCAGCCCGGTCTGTCTCCATTTCCTCCCCAAGTCAGGCTAACCTTTGTGGCCGTCTTCCTTGTACCCCCATCCTTCTACCCATGAGGCAAAGCCGAACTCTGGGTGAGCCACCAGCATCACCCTTCTGGATAGCCCTGGGTGAGTCCTCCAGGCTGAAGAGAGTGCGCCCCGTTGCTCCCGACCTGGGCTGCCACACTGCTCTTTCCCGTGCACTTTCTCTCTTCTGACGCCTCTTACGTGCCCCGCCGTGCCCAGTGGTGGCTACACTTCATCTGCCACGGTGCTGACCAATCCTGCTCCCCTTACCGGTGACCCGCCAAGCACAGGGCCCCCTCTGTCCTCTGCCTGTCCTTGACCCACCCTACCTAGCTGCTTCCTAACTGCACTAGAGCTAGTGCAGACCTCTTCCCACCATGCAAAAGTTTCCCTCGGCCACACCACCTCCTCAGCCATGCCACGGCAGGACACCGGGGCCAATGACCCAGTCACCTCCCCACGCGTCAGTTAGCAGGGACTTCCTGGGTCACGATGACCTCCTGAATCCAGAAGACCAGAACAACGTGCAGACATTGTGCTAGTGAGGAAGAAAAGGGAACCTCCAGGGAGAATGGAAACCAAAGAGAAAGCCCAGGGAATAGCTAGCTGGGCTCGAGACACAGGCCTGCGATCCCAGCTACGTGGGAAGACGAGGCAGGAAGACCCCATGTCCTTTCCTGAGTGAGTTCAAGGGCAGCCTAGGCAACTTAGTGTGCCCTTATCTCTAAATGGAAAGGGAGGCAATGGCTAGAGAGACGGCCGTGGGCAGAGAACCGGTCTAGCCTGAGAGACATCCAGTTGACGCCCTGCAACTGCAGAACCAACCAAAAATAAATAAATGAACAAACAATCCCACAGACAAGGTCATTGCTGGACTTTCAAAAGCCTAGCCTCCTGTTGCATACCAAAACCACACATAACAGGAGAGGACAGACTCTTAAAATCGCCCTCTGCCTCCCCCTCCAACCTGTCATGCATGACCCTTCACACGCACAAGTACATTTAATTTTAAAACTTAAAAAGGTCAGTGAGATGATGGGACAGACTTAGTAGACTTCCTGCGGAGGCCTCACCCTCTCCGTGGAGCCGATGGGAGGAGGGGGAAGGGGGAGCTGAGGTTGGAATGTAAAAATAAAAGCCCCCCAAAACTCAAAAACAGAAACAAGTCGCATCAAAGTGATAGCAAGTCAGTGACATTAGTGAGACACTGTGGCCCAGGCCAACGATGCTCACACAAAGCAAGGGGACTCCTGAGAGTGGGCAGCATTAAACTAAAGGGGCCCAAGAGGACTGACTGAGAAGGCTCCACCGGGCAGGCACAAGAGTCATTTCTCAAGCGTCTGAGTGAGCGAGCAGCTGGAAATGCAACCCAAAGCTATTGTAAACACAAGGAGGGCCTGATTGCAAGACTCGATGACACCTTTCAGAAGCGCGGGTCCCTCAAGGAGCAGGCTCACAGAGCCCTGCTTCATGCCTGTGGCTGTACCTTCCTTAGAATGGCCTGGGGAGTTTCACACCTCTGGTCTCTGGGTTGCCCATAAATCCTCCATAAATCGCCAATGTGCCCCCAAGTTCCCACATGCACCCCGCCTCTCTGCCTTTGCCCGGATGCAGCCCAGGTGCCCTCCAGAGGAAGTACAGAGGCTCCTCCAAGGACCTCCAAGGACCCAGCGCCTGGTCACGCAGCCATCAGGATGGAAGTCCCCAGGGAAAGCCCCTTTTCTTGTTCTCTCGGGATCCTCGGTCCCTTGTGTGGAACTCAGATACTGCTGACTGAAGGACTGAGGAATCGGGGCCCTGCAAGTGTCTGCCCCTGGGCACAGTGACCCTGGTGACACAAAGGTTAGCAAGGGTGAGTCCCATCCTCAAGGACAGAAGTCCCTCTCTCTAAAGCCTGGCCTGGCATAGTCCGCCCCTCTACTTTGGACCTCTGGGTCTGTCTCAAGGGCCACAGGCCCCTTGGACTCCTGGGTCCTGTTTGTGGCTGTCAGCTCCCTCAAGGCCATCTGCTCTCCCTGCTGGACACGATACCCTGACAGTCACGAGCAACTCACCGCAGGGACTGGAGTTATACAGACGGAGGATTCTGGTGACTGTGTCTCCTCCAGAGATCTGGGTCCCAAACCTGGGGGTGGGGGGAGAGCAGCCTGAACCAGTATACTCTGTATAGACTGTAACCTTGCAGGGCAGGAGACCTGGGCGGGCCTCGGGCCCGAGAGGCATCAGCTATCCATCCTTGTCTGGGTAACACCAGGGTCCAGGACTGCAGAACTGAACTGTCACATCACCCGGTTGCTGACACTATGGCTGGGCTCGTCAGCCTAGCATCAGCCTAGGGACTGGCATGCTTTGGATCACTCTTCTGTCCATCCACCGTCCCAAAGCCCTCAGAGACACACAAACGTCAGCCCTGTCCCCTGAGGTTCTGCTTCCCCAAGGCAGCCCCGCCCCCCCCCAGAGCCTCCTTGTGGGTGGCACAGGCGGCCCTAAGCCAGCCGGAGAACCAGGAGGCAGCAGGGACAAGCCAGACTGGCAGCCAGAGGGCTCTGGGGTCGTCAGGGATCGACCGGGGGCCTGGGCTGAAGCGGGTACCTGATGATAGGCTCCTTCTGGAACGGGGCCACGCTGTAGCATGTGTTCCTCAGGGAGCTGATGGGGCAGCCCACCACAGCCATATACACGGGGATGAGGGTTACTGGCAGGTCCCCCACCTGCAAACACACCAGCTCTTTGTCAGTGAGGGCCACTGCATTTCTGCCATGCAAAGCTGACACTTGGTTCCCGAACTCAGCCCCACTCGCTGCCCAGTTCCTGACCCAGACGCCTCTAGCTTGGGCCGCTTCCCCCCTGCCCCTGGCTGCCCTTCCTTCCCTCACAGCCTGCTACCGTCTACTGATCTAGCTGCAGGGTCTCTGGGCTCTTGTGGCCCCTTTGTTCAAATATCTTTTTGTCTGTTAAAGATTGTGTGTGTGCACAAGTGCATGTGTGTGTATGTGTGTATTGTATGAATGTATGTGCATGTGTGGGTGTTGTATGCATGTGTGTGGTACATGTGCGTGTCTGTGTGCGCATGTGTGCTGTGTGCGTGTGTGCTGTGTATGAATGTGTGTGATGTGTGTGCAAGCGTGCACACGTGTGCACGTGTGTGTTGTGTTATGTGTATATTGTATGAATGTGTGTGTATTGCATGAATGTGTATTGCATATGTATGTATGTGCATATGTGAGTTAAATGAGTGTTGTATGCGCACGCGTGTGTGTGTGTGGGGGGTGCATGACTGTTGTGTATGCATGTGTATGGTGTGCGTGTGTGTGTGTGTGTGTGTGTGTGTGCACTGTGTGCGCGCGCGTGCGCACGTGTCTGTATACGCTGCCTAGCAAATGACCGAATGCAAAGAGCTGGGTACAGTTGTAGTGCTGGGGAAGCTGTGGCTGCCTCCTCTTTACTCCTCGCTGTTATTTCTGGTCTGCCATTTCCTGTCCCCCACATGGTGGCCCCAGCCCTGTATATCACAGAGATCCAGAAGGTTCTGCTAAACAAGAGGACTCTGCCGGAAGCATCTCAGCCTTGACCCCAGAGGCTGCAGCTGTGTGAGTGACCAGCACGTGACAACAGCCGCGCTTGGAGAGGCTGAGGGCCACAGCTCTGAGGGCAGACAGGAGTCTAGGCACGTGAGCCTACGTCAGGTCCTTACCGTGCAGAGGAGGGCATCCCAGTACTCGCCCCACATGCTGGCACAGCCCGTGATGCTGATTTTCAGCTGCTGATAGGCTCCCAGCATGCCCTGGGAGATGTGGGGGAAGAAAGCAGCTCCTTTCCCGTGAGATAGCATGCTTTCCATAAAGTCTGCGGACGACAGAACATGGAGCGTCAGGGCCCTGGGCTGAGAGTGAGGGCTGAATCCTCAGGACTTAGCAACGCCTGGCCCTGGTGGAGTCACTGCAGGGCCCCTATAGCCAGCTGGAAGTGGCTCTGCTTGACCAGCCTCCTGTACCTCTATGAGCTCAGGCTCTCCTGACCGCCACCGGCCCCCCAAACAAAACCACGTCCTTCACAGGACTTGGCCATGTTGGGAATCTCACTGAGGAGTACCCTGAGAGGGAGGGAGTTAGTTGCTGGTCACCTTCTCCCTCCCTGGCGCATGCTGAGGTCAGGATGTGACATCACATCTTCAGAAGGGCCTGTAAAGCCCATGGCCTGGACCCAACACTTCCCATGTTACATGGCGGCGGCTCTCACCCATCTGTTCTTTCTTGGCCAAGTGCTCTTGGATGCGCGCTGTCTTTAGCAGGGCTGGGGGCATGTCAGGGCTTTGCAGGCACGGGAAACAGAATCAGAGCCGTCAGTCCATCCCACACGCGCCCTGAGCCACAGCCCATGCTAGAAACATCTGGACAGGCGCTCAGCATGGGAAGCTGGCCAGGTCCCCTCTTCACCCCCTTTTACATTTCTTTTCCTGCTGGACCTCTGCTATCCAAAGCATCCCCACCTGCAGGCCACCCTGAAAGTAGTAGGGTTGCCTCCCAGGAAATCCACAGGACGGTCTCCTCCGAGCCAGAGGTCTGTTATCCCAGGGGCAAACCCAGCTCTGCGTCTGCAGACCTTGGGCACCCTTTGCCACAGGCCCCACTCTCCCCAGCTGCCCCCTGTCTGGCATCAGGAGGTACTGACAGGCTGTAGCACAGAGCTAAGGGTCTGGACAGTGCTTCCTCGCCTCCCTGCACCTCCCAGCTCAGACCCGTGATCCAGGGTCCAGGACGACTGTCTTTCTAAGTCCTTAGCCCACACCTCTGCCCCTGGTCCCTGTCTACAGTAGCATCTCCCTCATTTACCCATCTCTCCTACCTGGTGTGTCTGCCCTCCCGCACCGGCCGGTGTCAAGGGCCCACTGAGGATGGATAACCCATGTGACCTCATGCACCCCGGGGAATGCCCCGAGAGGACACTGGGAGGGACTTACAGGCTGGTCTTTCTGTTCAGACTGTCTTGGGAGCTCCCGAAGTACTCAAATTTGAGGGTGAAAGGGGTCTGTATCGGGGAGCGATTCGTCAGGATGAGCTGTCGCGTCACGCCGGTCCTCAGTGGTACTTTGGAGCCGAAGTCCAAGCGGAGCTCGGCGCGTTCCCCGGAGCACAGCGCACTGCCGACAGCACTGCCCCGTGCCACACACCGTTTCGCTGCTACTCCTGCATCCGTTCAGAGAGCCCTCCCCTCCCCCTTGCCCCCCGTGGGGTGGGGCGGGGGCCGGTCCTGAGGCCCAACTTAAAAAGAGCTCCCCCCTCAGGGGGTGTCAGACCCCCAGGCCCAACCTTCTTGCCGATCCACCATGCCAGAGGAGCTCTTGAACAGCACAACTGCCCCCCTTGGGGACAGCATGCCATGGCTCCAAGGTGCTGGGCCCCTGCCATCTCCTGCCTGCCTCTGCGAGGCTACAGAAATGCCACGCAGGGTCGAGTGGAAGGGGCGGCTTCTGCAGAGACAGCTAGGGCCTGCGACAACTAACCATAGCCTTCTCTCAGAGATGCAGGGATTTGCTCGGGAGGATGGGGGTGGGGGCGGGTGGGGACCAGTACCACCGTGCAATGCCAGCCCTCCAAGAGGCTTACCCTACCCGGGACTCACCTCCCATCACAGTCCTCTGTGGAGGTGGTGACGGTCACTCGCAGTCCCAAAGGCGTCCCAGAGATGCCCAGGGCCAGTGGCTTCTCCATGCCAGACACATGACAAGGGAGGGCCAAGTCAATCAGCTTCTCCTGCAAGAGGTTGATCCACAGGTCAGTTTCAGGGCTGGGACCCCAGAAGATGAGCCAGACAGTCTTCTGCTACCATGGGAACATGAAAGCCTGGCTTCTCTCTGAGGAAGGGCCTCCAAGTACCTCCAGTGAGCCGTCCTGCCGGCCCAGACAAGGCCGGCCCTTAGGGGCTGACCCTCAGATGGGAGATGTCATTCTGTAAATATGTTTCTCTTATTGGTTAATGAATGAAGCACTGTTGGCCAATAGGAAAGCAAGATAGGCGGGACTAGGAGACAAGGAGGATTCGGGGAGTAGTAGGGAGGAGATTCAAGGTGTAGGGACTTGAGAAGAACTCCGGACCCTCTCTCCGGTAAGCTAAGACCACGTGGAACACTTAGATTAATAGAAATGGGTTAATATTTAAGACAGAGCCAGTGACACCTGAACACTGAGCAAGTCCCCCTGTGATGGCACCCCTCTGGGTACTCCAGGGAGAAGCCCTGCCTCTCCTAGGAGGACACTGGCCACCTGTTAGCCTCCCCCTGTGGCACCTAGAAGAGTGCTTGCCTTGAGCAATGGCTTTGCCCCGAGCAAAGTGCCTGAGGCCACAGAGACTTGCCTAGAGAAGGTAGGGCTGGTGACCGTATGGTCAATGGATCTCAGACCACATCTGAGCCTTCTCTAGGCTCTCTGGCCTTGTGGTCGCAGAGAGTAGGTCCAGAATGAAAGAGAACCCTAAGCGCAAACACATTAAATCTCTTGCCCACTCATGAGAAGCAGGGTCGGTTAGGCCTCCCTGGATGCATCGGTGCCCCTGGTTGGGCGGGGTGCCTTCCCAGCCACAAAGCACCCCCAAACTGCCTTACTCACCCGTGTGTTGGCTGTAAACTCCAAGCTGAGCTGGCGCTCTTCACTGGGGCCCAGTAGGCCACGTCTGGGAGAGATCGTCACTGTACACAAGGATGCTTGAGCCCCCAGGAGCTGGAAGACACAGGATGGAGTTACTATCGCGTGAGGCTACCAGATGGGCCAGGTCTGCGCGCAGGGCTGATCACAGCAAGCCGGACAGGGCCGGCAGGTCAGGAATAAACCACAGACCATGGTGGGCTTCACCACGCACCATGGAGTTGCCTGGACAAAGCCGGGCAGCCCGCTGCAGTGGACAGCAGAAGGCAGCTGCCTTTTAGGCTCCTCTCGTGGTGCTCAGAGCACCCTCCACTGTCGACTACAGGGGCATTGCTATGACTAGGTTCCGAGCAGCCATGCAGAGCAGCTATGAGCTGTGCTGGCTGAGAGGTCCCAGCTGTGTTTACCAGGAACTCCTTCTTGGGCAGGGAACTAGAATTCCCTAAAGATGGAGCCGTGAAAGATCAGGCAAGATGTACTGCTCAGTTTAAGGAGCCATGTTTTTCTGAGAGCTGTGGTCGGGGCCACAGGCTTGGGGGGGAGGCTGAGAGCTGTGGGTGGGGCCACAGGCTGGGGGGGTGAACCTTTATTTGGAGGGTGGCCAGCCAGGCGGTGGGGTCCCCCCCCCCGCATGTCTCCCACACACTGCTGGCAGCTGCAGATTGCTGCTAGTTGAGGCTCAATCGGTCACCTTGCCCCAGTGGAAGCGGGTGGGCAGGAGTGTCCCATTGACCAGCATGATGGTTGACTTTGTGGGCACACCCAGGTACAGGTCGCTGAGCTCCACGTGGCTGCTCTGCAGGTACACGTAAGGCTGCTGCACCTCAGCATACACAGGAAGGTAGCTGGAACACAGGAAATCATAAAAGGAGAAAATGAAACCTCCCCAATTTACAAATGACCCCGAGGAATCTATTAATGCAGTAACAAAAGGTAAAACAAAAACAAACACACACAAAAAACCAAACTACCAGCTAGGGGTAGCACATTTATAAATCCAGAACCCAGAAGGCAGAGACAGCAGGGTCACTGTGGGTCCCAGGCCAGCCTGGTCCGCAGAGCAAGCCAGGGCTGCACAGTGAGACCCGCCTCAAGAAACCCAAAATGCAGGCTCGTCATTCATAACAAACCATATCCTTATTCTTCAACAACGAGCGTGGAGAAACACACGCCTTAAGTCTAAATCCCTCTCGAAATAATGACAATTTTTTTTAAAGATTTATTTATTATGTATACATCATTCCTCCTGCATGTGTCCCTGCAAGCCAGAAGGGGGCAGCAGATCTCATTATGGATGGCTGTCAGCCACCATGTGGGTGCTTGGAATTGAACTCGGGACCTCTGGAAGGGCAGCCAGTGCTCTTAACCTCTGAGCCATCTCTCCAGCCCCAAAATATGAGAAATTTTAAGGTGAACACTCTGGGTTTATTTCAGGATGGTCACTCACCCCTTCCTAACCCTGGCCAAAAGAAAAGAACTTTCTTGTCTTCACCAAAGGAATCTAGGTGCTCCTGTCCTAGTTAACTTCAACTGGCATAGCCTGGGCACCTGAGGGACTGTCTAGCCAGATTGACCTGTGTGTGCGTCTGTGGGGGACTGTCTGGGTTGTAACTGGAGCAGGAAGCCTCAGCCCACTGTGGGCAGCGCCATTTCCCGGGCAGGTGGTTCTGGGCTGTATAACAGAAGTTAGCTGAGCGTGAACCCATGAGGGAACCAGCCAGCCATGCTCCTCCACGGTGTCTGCTTCTGGTTCCGGCCTCGACTTCCCTCAGCGATGCGGCATGACCGGGAAGCGTGAGCTAAGTAAATCTTTCCTTTCTCTACGTTGCTTTGTGGTCAGAGTGTTTTGTTGTTGTTGGGTTTTCAAGACAGGGTTTCCCTGTGTGGCTCTGCCTGTCCTGAACTCACTCTGTAGACCAGGCTGGCCTTGAACTCAGAAATTCCCCTGCCTCTGCCTCTCCAGTGTTGGGATGAAAGTCATGCGCCAGCACTGCCCAGCTGGCAGTATTTCGTCACAACAACAAAAGGTAAAGTACACCGGCTCTCAAAAGCTTCGAATCTTACCCCGGCTGACATCCCGTCTCCAGAATTTGTTGGAGCTGTTGAGTGTCCCTTCCATGACTGGCTCCAGCCATGCTGCTTAGGGGCAACTGGCCTGTTTTCTACATTTGACTGTCTCCCTGGGGTTGGGGTGGTACATCCTCAGTTCTCTCACAGACATAGAGAGTTGCTTTTTGTTTGTTCTTTTTTTTTTTTTTTTTTTTTTTCTTCTTGTCATGAGGCAGGAGTTTGGTGGACAAGTGTTCTACATGTCTAGATGGCCGGGGCCATTTTGTAGTGAGGTTACCTTTATGGTGAGTAGTGTGCAGAGGAGATTATCCTACAGGGTGCACATGGGCCTGTCAGTCATCTGAGGGACCTTAAAAGCAAGAGCCTGGGGTTGCCTGGCCAGCCATAGCTGATTGAGTCCTTGCAAGAATTATATCTACATGCACATGTAATATTACATATAGTTTATATATCATATTACTAGGTAGTATGTGTAATATACTACATAGACTTGTTTTGTATCTGGGGCAGTGCTTAAATTCACAATATTTTTATTTCAGCTGCCTGAGTGCTGGTATTATAGGCATGTGCCACATCTGACTGTAACCAAGTCTCGTGTGTGTGTGTGTGGGGGGTCAGAGGTCAATGTCAATGTCGGATGTCTTCCTGAGTTGCTGCACGCTTTGTTTTTTGAACAGGGTCTGGCTAATCTGGCCCGTCGGTGATCCCCGGAGCTGCCGGTCTCAGCCTCCCCAAGTGCTTAGACTACCAACACATGCTGCCATTAGGGGGAGACTTCAGGGTCACCCTCACAGATTCCAGGGAGTTTCCACTGCGCTAGGTTTCTACATTATCCCCCAAGGGCCCCCAATTCCAGTCCTCTCTTCCAGTACTCTCCCTCTGCCCCTCCCACCCCAGCCTGATCTTCCTGTGCCCATCCCCACCTGCCACCAATCCACCTGCCACCACCACTCCATTCCCCCTTCCCCGGGAGGTCCACGTGTCCCCCCTCGAGCCCTCCTTGTGACTTAGCCTCTCAGGGCCTGTGGTTTGCAGCATGATTATTCTGTACTTAACAGCTAATATCCTCTTATGAGTGAGCACATACTATGTTTATCTTTCTGGGTCTGGGTTACCTCACTCAGGATGGTTTTGTTGTTGTTGTTTTGTTTTGTTTTTGTTTTTTTTTGTATTACAGTAATGGGGGATATGGCAATACTCCCCACAGCGGGACTGGGACACCAACCCAGTCATGAAACCCTAGACCTACAGTCTGTCCTGCCCGCAAAATGTCCTGGGGCAACAATGGCCGTGCAGAACATTGGTGGCCAACCAGTGACTGGTCCAACTTGAGGCCCATGCCATGAGAGGAAACTCATGCCTGACCCTGCCTCTTCCTAACAATATTCTGCTGAACTCATAGGCCATCTAGGCGCTGCTCTATGGCATCAGAGAGGCATCGTCCAGCAATTGATGGCAGCAGGTGCAGAGACCGGCGGCCAAACCGTAGGCAGAGCTCAAGGAGCCCCGGTAAAGAGAGAAAGGGAGAACTGTAGGAGCCAGAGGGGTCAAGGACACCATGAGAATACAACCCACAGACTCAACGAAGCAGGGCTCACAGAGACGGAGCGACAAACACGGACCCTGCATGAGCCTGAGCCAGGTCCTCTGCATGTATGTCACAGTTGCGTGGGGTGTCTCTGACTCTCCTGCCTGTGCTTGGGACCCTTTTCCTCCTACTGGTTACTTCATCCAGCCATGGTACGCTGAGTTTGGTGGGTATTCCTGGGGAGCCTGCTCTTTTGGGGGGGGGATGGAAGAGCATTAGGGGGGAGAGGGGAGGGGGAAGGGACTGGGGGGAGTGGAGGGAGGGGAAACTGTGGTTGGGATCAATTCATGTACTCTTTTATTTTAAAAAAAAAATCATAAAAAACCACTGCTGCTGCAGTCAGCTTCTCATGTGAGTGCTAGAGACCCAAACTCAGGTTCTCATGCTCTCCCAGCAATCAACTTAGCTAACTCCCAGCACCTCCTCCAACATCACATTTTAATAAATGTTATTGTTTTCTTTCACTGGTGGGGTCCAGACTGGCATGATACTACCAAAGAAAACCTGTAAGCAAATATAAAAGATGGAATAGATTTATTTTCCCCTGTGACTCATTTATTTTATCTGACTTAAAAGACAACTACAGCCAGGTGGTGGTGGTGGTGCACGCCTTTGATCTCAACAACCGGGAGGCAGAGGCAGGTGGATGTTTGTGAGTTCTAGGCCAGGTGTATAGACCAAGTTCCAGGACAGCTAGGACTGAGACAGAGAAACCATGTCTTGAAAAACTGAGAGAGAGAGAGAGAGAGAGAGAGAGAGAGAGAGAGAGAGAGAGAGAGAGAGATCCATTTACCAGTAACTAAATCTGTGCTGATGGGTCTCATGTACTCAGAAGCCAGAAATATTTAAGGGGGAATGATGATTGGACTAGAATGTTTGGAGACCTTGCTATCATACTTTTAAGAGTGAACAGAACTAAGATGTGTATTGAAATGGAAGGCACACATACACACACTCACACACATGCACACAGACACACACACACATGTTCACACACATACACACCAGACATGCACACATAGACACACACAGACACACAGAGAGATACACAAACACACACACACACACAGATATGTTCACAGAGAGACACACAAACACACACAGACACAAAATACAAAACAAAATAACTAAGAAACCATAAATATTTTTTTTTTAAAAAAACGAAGTGTTCTCTATCTGGTCCTGGTGGCATTCACCTGCCATCCCAGAACTTGAGAGGTGGAGGCAGCAGGATCAGAAATTTAAGTCCTCAGCTGCATATGAGTGCAAAGCTAGCCTTGGCTACATGATACCATCTCAAAAACTCAATCAGAAAAGACAGGAGGGGAGGGAGGGGGAGGGGAGGGGCGTCACTGCCTTCTGAGCCTCTGGTGTGTCCTATCAGGCTACAATAGTGTTAGCACATTTAACCCCGACTGCGTCCACTCTCTTGCCCAAGAGCATGAGCGGTTCCTGCTTTCCATTCTTAGGTGTCCTCTTGCTAGGAAACAGCCCGAGGAAGCCAGGAGACAGCACCAGCTAGCTGCCCTGGAGTGGGAATTACAGGCGGTCCTGAGACGCCTGAGCTGGATATTGGCAGTCACACCCTGGCCATTCCTCCAGCTCCCGGCATCTGTAGTTTTAAACTCAGGAATAATGTCTAGATGAGTACAGAGTTGCACACAGTGTCAGCGGAAGGTGAAAACAAACGCAGCCCACAGTCACCCTCCCAGCCCTCCATACCTCCAGGCCCCGTTTTCCACCTCTAGCTCCAGTACAGTCTGCAGGCGCCGGCAGTGGGAGGTCTCTAAGGTGATGGTCACTTTGCACTCCCCCAGAGGGTGGAGCTGGCCACTCAAAGGCTCAATTTCGAAGGGGGATACCTGAGGTCAACCCAGAAGACACAGCGACAAGTGAGGCCGGAGAACCTGGGTGCTGGCCAGGCTCACCCCCAAGCTGCCCCTGGATCTCCCCGGCTCCAAACCACGGAGGAGGCGATCAAGCCTGGGGCCACAGCTGGTGAGGCCCCGGGGGACAAGAGAGTAACAACTGTGTGTTTGGGTAAAGGAGTACGCAGGGCACAGGTTCCCACGCTCCCGGCACGGAGCTAAGAGGTGGGGCGTAGGGAGGGCGCCCGGGGTGGAAAGGGGGGATGGGCTGAGAAGACCAGAGAGGGATAGGAGGAGAGCTTGGGCGGCTCTGACTGTTTCAACTGAGGCTAGCCATGAGGTCATCCCACTGGGGAGAGCGGAAGCCGCAGACAGGATGTCCCTTGTCCCCATTCTGGTTTTCCCCCACTCCCACCCGCCCCCCCCCCAGGATTGACTCACCGATCAGCAAACGCACCCCCTCCCCATGCACACAAGGGAGGAGTGGACAGACGAGAAGACACACCAAACAAATTGTCCTAGAGTGTGTGTGTGTGTGTGTGTGTGTGTGTGTGTGTGTGTGTGTGCTTCTGGGAGGGGCACCTGCGGGACTAAGGAGCCTTAGACTCCAGGCGGGTCATGTTGGTTAGTGGGATGTCACTGGAAAGTCACGCCAGAAAGGGCACTGTCTCTCCCTTCAATGAGGCCAGGGCAATGGGTGTAGAGGACACAACCGCCTGGAGATGCCACATGACCTGGATTGACCCATCCCAAACTCTTGGGCTTCTGATCCCTCTGGCTCAGAGTTGTGGAAATGCTGGCACCTGCCACCTGTTTTGTGCAGTGTTGGAGGTTGTAATGCAGGGCAGCTAGCTGCTCACATCTGCAGAAATTGACTTTTGTTTGTAGCGCCACTAGCCGCCGCCCCCTGGTGGCAAGTACTCAAACTGCAACCACATTTCCCAGGTGAGCCGGTAGGAGGGGCTTCTGGCTTCATTGCCTGTTTTCTTCTGGACCCAGGCTGCTTCTAAGAAGGAGAATCCCCACGCCACCCTCTTCTGCACCCAGTGGTCAAAAAGGCCAACGGGAAACGCCTGTGAAATTGGGGCTGAGGGATGATGCATTCCACCCTGGAGACTGCTGCCGAAGGTGAGGTGAGTGTCCCACGGGGAGGCCACATCTAGGGAGCCTGAAGTGTCCCTCCCACTCACATCCTCGTTTCTCTCTGACAGGCACACGGGGCTCTCCTTCAAATTCCACGCGGCCGAGAGCTGGCTGATGTTCCGGATGTGGATGGAGCGTGAACACTTCTGGCCCAGGCGGAGCAGACCGAACTGAAGGGCGGGGACATCGATGACCAGGGCGGGTCCCTGAAATGCCACCAGCCACCAGAGGGGCTTGTCACTGCCTGCCTGGGGAGGGTCTGCGGCCAGCCTCTCTAGGCATCCCAGCTGCCCGGTTCCACCCGCGGCACCTTGAAGGCGGCTTCGATGTGAAGCACCACGGGGCAGGGTGAGTCTTCGATCTCACACTGCAGGTCCTGGCTGGTTGGCCCAGGCACTCCGCCAGTTATGTTTAACTCGAAATCTCCGACCTCATTCGGCTCTAGACAAGAGGCGGGCATTGAGGAGGCAATCAGAGGCGGCTACAATTTTCTTCCCGGCCCAGGCCGGATCTGGCTGCAGGACAGCCCGGGTCCTGCATGGGTCTCCTGCAGGTGAACTACCTACCTATCACGCCCGTGCAGGGCTCCACCTCGATGATGTGGCAGTCGCTGTTCTTGTCCCACAGGTATCTGATGGGTGACTTGCTGTTATTCCACATCTGAAAGACACAAGCCAGCAGGCTGCCTGGGTACTGCCCTTCCGTGTCAAATCAGAACCCACTGGAGGACAGCGGGATTGCTGGCCGGCCGGCTCCCAAGGGGGTCCCGTCTGATGCGCTGCTAGCTGCTGGCCGCTTGGAGCCCCGGGCCTCTCCACCCAAGAGGTGAGTTTTTGTTTGCTCCGTGTCGTAGACACACAGGTGTCCTCGCATCCTGCTGAAGACCTGGGGATGAGTGCCGCAGCCCTGGCTTGGCAAGATTCTGGGACACTGACATTAAGTCAGACACGCCTGGCCCAGGAGTGTGAACCCCGCGTTGTGGCCCGTGGAGCTCTACCTTCACCATGCTTCCGCCTGAGTGCGGCATCTCCTGGGCCAGACGAAGCTGGTGAGGGGATTCCTTACCTTAAAATCTTTCTTCACAGTGATGCCAATGTAACTCTCTCCAGGGATGATGAGGGCATAGGGCTCTAGAAGAACCTGGAAGGGTTCTGCCCAGCCTTTCACCTCTATTTCCAGGACGATTACATCATCCACGGAGTAGGAATAGTCCCCCAGGTTCTCCATCCCTGAGCTAAACACAAACCCACTGTGAGCTAGGGACCGACACACCCCGAGGCCGTGCCCCGTGTCTACCCCCACTTGTTCGGTCTTGTGAACACAAATCGGTCCCTTACCCTCAACCCCGGACCCCCCAGTCCTATGAAAAATGCCTATCCTGTGACAGTGCAAAGTGACGGCAGATTAACCTAAAGCCTGGGGCACGGACCCTGCTGGGTGTTTAGCGAGCATCTGGCCGGGACCTGTGAACCATGCTCCCTGGAGACCCACCTCTAGCCAGTGCATCATGGAAACCTTCTCCTGCAGTCCTCAACAGCACCTGGGGGCTACCAGCTAGGCTACCCCAGGGGTGGCAGGGAGCCCCCCTCCCTACCCAGGCTCACCTACTCACCTCAAGGGCTCAGGGACAGCTTCCAGAACCATTTGCAGTACACTGTGGAAACACTTGAGCTGTAGGAGGAACACAGTATGATAACCAGACTCGCCATCCAGCCAGGCTGGCTGGCTGCCTGCGGGGAGCTAGGGGACAGGACAGGGATTCCTCTGTCCTGACATGCCTGGCGGAGGCGGAGGGGGAGGGGCAGTCTGGAGGATCACTGCTTCCTGTTGTCCTCCCCCCCCACCTTAGGGAGGATGGGGTCCCTGCCAGGGCAGGAAAGGAAGCCCCAGCCCCCCACGCCTGACATGGGCTCTGATGAGCATCCTTGGTGTGTTTAAGGTCCCAGACCCTCCTAGGTACAAGCAGCTGCATGCAGCCGCACAGAACCCAGTCTCAGACCCTGGGAAACAGCCCTGGCCCAGCCCCGTGCCATGAGGGCACCGGGCGCAGGAGCCCATGCCTTGCTCGTGGGATTGCAGGGGTGGGGCAGTGGGGACGGTCATGTGTTTGAGCTGTGAGTGTCACCAGGGCTGAGGGACGTGCCAGGACTGTGCTTCGGGGGCACTATCTGGGGACGGAGTCAGGGAACAAGCTGCTGAGTCCTGCTCACCAGATCCCAGCTACACCCTGAGCCACACGCTGCCTGGTGCCGGGTACCTCATCAGGCACAGCTGTGCCTTCAAGAACATAGTTGGGGGTTGGGGTTGGGGGAGGAGAGGCACACGCACAGACACGCAAAAAGCTAAAGACCCCGCCACTGGCTAATGAGAGGACCTGGTCGGGAGAAAAGCTCAGGATGAACTCCTGGTCTGAGTGGGCCTCGAGGATGCCCTTCTCTGGAATGATGGAGAAGGCTGTCTCTCTGTCAGGGTGACACTTGATGCTGTCGGAGCTGTGCGTCTCTCCAGGCATCAGAGGCTGCAGGTTGGGCTTCATGATCTGCCAATGGAAGGCCAGCTCCACGTGCCTGTGGGAACAGCCGCTGCCATGGGCCATGGACCCCAGGCCATGCCCCAGCCCTCCTGATGGTTGGTGTACTGCATTCCAGATCAGAAGTGGCTGGGTCAGGGTTCAAGCTTTTCCCAGGGAGTGAGCGGCCGAGGGCAACTTAGGTAAGGGCAGCAAACCGGAGGCCACGTAAGAGTCCCCAAGCCACAGTGCACCAGGGACACGGACAATGCAAGATGTCACTCTCTAACCGTTACACTAGAGGAGTCCAGGCATCCCTGAAAAATCCTCTAAAGGGTTCCTACCACATGAGAGCATTGTTAGTTTCCTTATAGGTGCCACACCCTGGACTTCTGCCTGCAGCCATGGCCTCCTGGGATGATGGCTGTATTCAGAGAGACACGTGCCCACTGGCTACCAACAAGCACAGTAGTACCAGCTCAATAGCGCCACAGTGGACAGGACTCAGGCATGCTGCTGGGTGGTGGGGTGGTGGGGTGGGTGGGGGGGGGGAATGGCGGGGCGGAGGGATGGCGGGTCAGTCCCTCCCACCTGTGTCCCAGAGCATCCCTGACTGGGAGGCTCACAGAATGAATGTGATGTTCAAAGGTTGGCCAAGGAGGCATCTGACAGTGAGGGCTGAGCCGAAAGACCCCACCTGGGACCCAGATGGCTTCCGTGACAAGGACACAGGATGACCCCTCTGGAAAACTGTCCCCACCACAGAAAGGAAATGGGAGAACACAGGTGACATGAAGTAGGAAATGGAATAATGGGGAGAGGGCTGCAACTGGGTGGGGGAGGGGAGGGGAGTCAGTGCAGAAGGAGGAGGGACACGATGCTTAATAATGCCTCAAGGAATCGCTTTATATTTACCTAAAAGTATATATAATACACACCAGTTTATGTATACACACACACACACACAAACACACACACACAAACATATAAACACACAAACACACATACACAAATACATACACATACACACAAACACATATAAACACAAACACATATGCACACACATACACATACACACAACACACACACATACATACACACACGCACACACACACACACACACACACACACCATATTTATATCTTAAAGGAAGTAAACTACTTGGGCCACCAGTGCCCTCCACCGGACTAATGGCCCAGTACCAGGCACGGGAAACCTCCTTTCAAGTGCTTGGTCAAGGCAGCTCCAGCGACTCCCCACGCAATATAAAGTACTGATGCAGCCCTTGGCCACCTCTCCCGCTTGAGGCGGGCCCCTGTGGCTGGATACAGTGCACACCGGGCACAGGACGGATGATCTGAGCTGAGCCTGACCTGGAAGTGTCTTCACGGTTCCAGAAAATACTGTGCAAGCTGCTGAGGAAGGGCGCAATTAGACTTTCTTCCCCCAATTGCATCACTGACGAACCACAATTGCCGGCATGCATGGCCGGGCATGCACAGAGGTGAAGGGACACTAGCCCGTGACGATGCGGCTCTGGCAGGCCTTGCCCTTTCCTCTCATTCCCTCTGCCTTGCTAGAAACGGTTAGGTTACATTCCTAAAGCTAGCCACCAGACTATTCTCTTACCTGGCTATTTCCTCCTCCTGGGGCTGACTACCAAGGTCTGGCTCTCAGAACATTAAAGTCCGGCAATCAAAAACACCCGATTAAATGTTTTCCTTTAATGGAGATGCCGTAGTCATGGTGTCTCTTCACAGCAGGAGAAACCCCGCCTAAGACACGCGGGTTTCCCCTCTTTGTTAAACCACCATTTGCCTTTCGGCTCCATCTGTCTGCCTCTATCCGGACGGACGGACGGACGCAGCCCTTTGTCATCCCCAAGACAGTACCCTGCCCCTCCCTGTTGTCCTCCCCTTCTCCCTTGTCCTCTCTCTCCCCCTCTTACTCCCTGCCCTCTGTCCCTCTCCTTTGTGCTGACCCCAGAAGTGGCACTCACAGCTGTCTAATTAGAGTCAAGTTCCACTCAAGATGGTGCTGGAACCCTGGAATGTCACCAGTACATCCTTGTCTAATGTGCATGACCTCACTAACCCCAAGGAGGCAGCTGGGTTTCCAGTCCCAGGCATCGTCTAAATCTTTTCCTTACACCACAGGTAAGCGCAGATGCCGCCCTTCATGGAAGAGCCCTCTCTCTCCAGCGAATGGAGGCCACCACAGGAAAGCACAGCTGGGCACCACACACAGATCCTCGGATACATGGGCAGCACCGCTCCTGCACCTACGGCTCAGGGGACGTCACGGAAGAGGGGCATAAAGACTGTAAAAGCCAGAAGGCCAGGAAGTCTGCCGTGAAACCGTCCCTCCTAGACCAGAACATGGCGGTGTGTAACGTTGAAAGCGGAAATTTAGTGGGGTCTCACCACTAGGCAAAGAACTAGATAACTAGATAACCGCTGGGAGAGGCAGAGTTAGGTCCCCCCAGGGATGAGCTCTGTCATTCACTGTTCAATTCAGAGTGGTCAGAGAGACTCAGCAGGCCCGGCATTGGTGGCGCATGCCGTTAGTCCCAGCACTCGGGAGCCAGAGACAGGCGGATCTCTGTGAGTTCAAGGCCAACCTGGTCTACAGAGTGAGTTCCAGGACAGGCTCCAAAGCAATACAGAGAAACCCTGTCTTGAAAAACAAACAAACAAACAAACAAACAAGACTCAGCAGGATATATTATATATATCAGAACAGATATAAACATGCATATGTATATGTGTGTGTATGTATGTAACACTCATGAGCAAAGCAAAAGAGATTATCAGCTTGACAGTGGCATTGGCTGTGGGAGGGGCTTGAGGAAGGGTAGCTGGGAGGATCTGGATGTAGGAAAGAGAGAGGGAATGTGATATAATTCTATTTCAATTAGAAACAATAGGGAGCTGGACAGATGGCTTAGACCTTAAGAGCACTGGCTGCTCTTCCAGAGGTCCTGAGTTCAATTCCCAGCAACCACATGGTGGCTCACAACCATCTGTAATGAGATCTGGTGCCCTCTCCTGTCCTGCAGGGATGCATGGAGGCAGAACACTATAAGTCAAATAAATACATTTTAAAAAGAAGAACTCAGGATTCAGAGAGGCTGAATAGCAAGTAATTAACCTCCTCTCCTAGCACCTAGTTACCCCCCCCCATAAAAACATTTATTCCTGGCTTAGTGTGGTGGAGTGCAATCTGGCTTCCCACAGTGATGAAGACCTTGCATGGCCACACTATCTAATATCAGTGGCCATCAAGAACTTAAAACACAGCTAGTATACTGAGCAGGTGCTTGTCATTTGATTCGCTTTAATGGATTTGAATAGAAATAACCAGCTGGGGAGATAGCGTTTGTCGGGCAATCACGGGAACCTGGGTGAGATCTGTGGACTCACATTAATAAAATGCAGAACATCTGGTATAAGCCAGTCATGATGGTGCATACCTGTGAGCCCAGAGGCAGACAGATTTCAGTAAATTTGAGGCTAGCTTGGCCTACCTGGTGAGTTCAAGGCCAATCAAGGCTACACAGTGAGACCCTATATAACAACAACAACAACAACAAAAGCCAGGTAGGTGTGCTTAGAATCCCAGGGCTGAGAAGTGGAGACAAGCAGACGCTCTGGGCTTCCTGGCCAGCCAAGCCTAGATGGCCTGGAGAGTTCCAGAACAGTGACTCTTTCCCAACAAACGAGGCGATGGTGCCGGAAAAACTACTCATATACCTGCCACACACACACACACACACACGTACACCTGAACATATACAACTCATACACACAGGCATGCACGCACGCACGCATGCACCTGAACACACACAGCTCATCCACACACATACAAACATACCACACCATACCTCACATACAAATAGTTTAGTGGTTGCATGATGGGCAATGTGAACCAGGAGCCTTCCATCCAGTCTGGACCCATTCTGGGCTCTTAGAAAGCCCTCTTGAATCATGAGGAACTCGGGGAGGGCCAGTGGAGGGAGGGCCAGGGCTGTGAGTCTACGGCACACCAGGACCACTCACGTAGCATTTCTGATAATGAGCTGCTTCCTTGCGGTGGACTGGAGGTTTTCAGGCTCAAACCGGATAAAGTACTGGGCTGTTAAATCTCTCAGCTCTCCTGGGTCTGGTTCACTTTTTCCACCAGAAATATAGATCAGATCCAAAGCCACCAGCTGCCCAGTTCCTGACGAACGAGAGTAGTGAGGCTCACCAAGTATCGCCAGGCGGGCCACAGACGGCCCCGTGCAGCTGCTGGCCTCGTTCAGGCCCCCCCCCATGGCATACAGAAAGGTAAGTGGGGTCTTGAGCCCCCACCCACCCATTCACACCCTTGGTCTTCGCAACCAAAGAGAGCCTTGCATACAGCAAACACTCAGTTAATGACCCCTGAGTGGTACCAGACAGACAAACAAAAGGGAGGAAGGACAGACAGTGAGCGTCTGGGACGATTCAGAGACATGCCCTCTCCAACCTTGGAGTTGCGACAGAGCCGGTGATTGATGTGAGCCACAGATGGCTCTCAAAGATCCAAGTGACAGAATGAAAGATGTCACCTGGAAACTCAGCACTAGGGGAGAAGGGCCAGGAGGACGAGGGCCAGGCGCTCGAGGCAGGGTCCCCTCAGGTCCCCACCCTCCCGGCTGGGGCAGGCACAGCGTGCCTCTGCCAACGCTACTGTGGTAAGCAGCGCCTGGAGCCACATGCCCACCTGCGATAACCAGCTCCTTTATCTGACAGTTGTCACACACGATGACGAAGGTCTCCTCTGCCTTCCCTAGGCTGGTCGGGAGGAACAAGACCTGGCGATGAGAAAGGGTGTGAGTACTAGAGGCTGACAGGGAAACATGACGAGGACCAGGGGCTGGGTGTCACCTTCAGAGGTCTGGCCCTGATGATCTCCTCCTGCCATGGAGGCCTCACCTATGAAAGGCTCTACAGCCTCTGGGAAATAGTGCCACCAGCTGAGGGACAGGGCTTTGAAAAGTGAACTCTCAGGAGACATTTCAGGTGCCGATGCCCTGTATTGGCTCTTTAAGCTGATTTATTTCGTGAGGGCACGGGAGGGTGGCACAGCAGGGACAATTCCTAAGAGCCGGACGCGTGGCCCCACGGAGTGCGTGCACACGCCGATGCTGGCTCAGAACGCTGTGGGGGCGAGCCACGAAGACAAGAGGCGGGCGCAATCACGGAACACCCCAGGAAACCAGGAGGGTGAGTGAGGATAAGGAGCAGGTCTGACTACCCACCTCCAGCAGGATGGCAAACCCTGGAGCCAGCTCAAACACCGAAGGCATGACCCCAAAGGGGGGCTTCTCCACGAAGCCGGTGGTTGCTACAGCCTAAAAAGTAAAAATTAAAACAATAATTAATTGTTAAAAAAAAAAAAAAAAAGCAGGGGTTTACACAATGGTGTGGCAGAGATCGCCGAGTCTAGCTCTCACACTGCAAACGTGTCTCCAAATCTTCGTTCTGCTGTCTGAGGGTTTTAAGGGTCCTCCGGTGCCCTCACAGTGAGGAAATCACGACCTGGGCGCCCCGAGGGTGTGTTAACGCCACCTTTGCCAGGCACAGGTGAGGCCCTGAAGGTTAGGCGTGAATCATTGGCCGTTGGGAAGCAATATTACCGCCAAGCTCTCCGGACACAAGATGTACAAGAAGAGCTTCCCAGATGCTTGGTCCTTCCTGTCTGTGGCGGCCACTGCTTCTGCCTCTGCCCCTGACCACCGGAGGGCTTATCAGCCTCAGAGCCGTGAGAACACGTGTCACCTTGCTTACAGGACTGTGGATTTCACACGGGACCTCTGGGCTAGTGGCACACACTGGTACTTAGATGGCCCTTGCCCTCGGAAGACACACCCGGGGAAGGGAGGTTTCTGAGTCTGTCTCATATTCCTAGGCCAGAAGGCATGGGGAAATCTACCCATTGTAGCGGGAATTATGGGGTACACGGAATGTCACTGGCGTCAGGCTGGGGCTGCCTGGGCAGAGAGGATCTGGAAACAGCAGAATATGTCTGCTCCCTGATTCCACGGGTCACAGCAAAGAGCCCGTGGTTAAAAACATAATGTGTATATATGTTGTGCCTTTATTCTTGTGTGGGTGTGTGGGGGGGTGCACATGTGTGCATGTGGAGGCCAGAGGGCCGCTTCAAATACTGTCTACCTTGGTTTTTTTTTTTTTTTTTTTTTTTGGAGGCAGGGTCTCTCAGTGGCCTGGAACTCACCAAGTAGGCTAGGCTGGCCGGCCAGCCAGGGCCAAGCCCCAGGCTCACCATCTCACATCCCTGGGACTACACCAGAGTGGCTTTTTAAATGTGAGTTTTGAGGATCAGACAGATCCTTCCACTTCAGTATCTGAGCCATCTCTCCACCCCCAAAATATTCTTAAGTGCTGTGCCAAATTAATACCAGCGGAATTCAGCCCAAGCTGCCTGCCTTGTCCTCTCTCATAGTGCTCAGCTCTGCTATAATAGAGCTGGGCTGGGGAGTGCACGTGGTCGCCTTGGAGACCCAATCACAAAACAGGAGAGAGGATACACCTCACCCAGGACTGTGCAACGTATCCCTAACCTGGACACACTGGCTCTCGGGCCAAGGCGTGACGCAGCAGCCTCTCCTCCAGGGAGCAATCCACAGTCACTCACCCGGAAACTTGGCGGCGGCCAGCTCTTTTGGGGCATGATGCAGAATTTGCCGACGCTGAAGCCCACGTTTTTGCAGAGGAATCTGGTTATCTTCACTCCTCCAATTAGGCAGTGGCCACAGTCCAACACAGGAGACACTGCAGCCATGGGAAGAGGTCCCTCAGGGAGGGAAACACAGGGCTGGTGAGGTAACAGTGATCGCAGCCAAACCTGAGGGGCCTGAGTTCAATTCCTCCGGGCGGAGGTAGAGGGAGGAAGGAACCAACTCCTACAAGTTGTCCCCTGACCTATCCACGAACACCACGGCACAGTGCACTCCCCCATACACACAAGTATAATACATAAATGTAATAAAAATTTTATTTAAAAAAAGGACAACAGCTGAATCCCAGCACTCGGGAGGCAGAGGCAGGCGGATCTCTGTGAGTTCGAGGCCAGCCTGGTCTACAGAGCTAGTTCCAGGTCAGGCTCCGAAGCTACACAGAGAAGCCCTGTCTCGAAAAACAAACAAACAAACAAAAGGAGGACACCTGGTTCTGAGTGAACCCAAGAGTTCAGAGCACCCCACCCACCCCACGGCACTGAGAAGGTAGAATAAGTAGGGCATGCCCTGAACCCTGAGTCCCTTGGGCTCTGTCCAGGGTGCTGCCAGGTTACAAGGTGATAGTCCTGTGGGCGTCAACACTCACTGCAGGCCAGGAACAAATCAGGGGAGGGGCTAAGTTCCGGCTGTGGGAGCTCACACCCCATACCTAAGGAAGTCCTGCTGGTGTGGAGGCTCCTTTTAGGACCCGAAGCCTCTATCCAAGAGATCTGAGATCTGTGTCCCTTCCAGGAAGTCCCCCTGTGCAGTCTGCCCTTACAGGGGCTCCCCAGCCCTAACTGAATCCCACGGAAGGTACAGTGCATGCACTCACAGGTCAGCACTGGGGGCGGCCTCCGGGCCTGCAGGGGGATCACCAGCGTGTGGGCAGACTGGGTCTCCACCAAAATGAAATCGTCAAAATCCCCGAGACAGTCCGGAATGAACTGGACAATGTACTGGCAGGTCATCCCAGGAGCTACCATTCCGCCTTTCCCGGGGAACATCCCTGTGTACAATAAAAGGGACCCATGAATGTGAAGGACCAGATGCCCACCAGGGCCTGGGCTGATCCACTTCCAAAGTTACAATGTATCTATTTCTGTAGAGTTGAGTATTCGCTCTGGGCTCTGGAGGGCGACAAGAGCAGCTCTCTAGAACTTGGGAACCTGGCGCCAGCTCCAAGTTCATGTATGAGGCCTCTCTGTGAGGTTAGAAAAGCAGGGAGCTATTGAGAGAGAGAGACAGACAGACAGACACGAGAGAGAGAGAGAGAGAGAGAGAGAGAGAGAGAGAGAGAGAGAGAGAGAGAGAGAAGACTCTGGTGGAAATGTTTGCAAGCTGGCAGTGAGCTCCAGGAACCCAGCTCTGCTGAGTGGTCACTCACACTGGAATGTGTGGGGATGTTGATTTGACTCTGTCATTGGGGCCCTTCCGGAGTAAAGAGATGTTAGCTCACATCTCCCCAGGAAAAGTCATGTGACAGATGCCAACCACAGTGGGCCAGGCTGGTGGCAGAGCTGCCTGGGGCATGAAAGGGAGGTGACTGCCTGGGGCGTGCAAGGGAGGTACTAAGTTAACAATATCCGGGCCCACAGCCGGGTGAGATGGCCTGTGTGAGATGGACGGACGGAGGTTGTCTGGCTGGACGGCATGGGGATTGCCTATGGGCAGCAGAGGGCTCTGCTTGGTATTCTTTTGGGTTAGACATTTCCTCACTCTCCCCTCGGGCTGGCGTCCGATTTGTGTCAACCCTCTTCGCCCAGCCTTCCAAGTGCTGGGGTCACAAGTGGGAGCCACCACCCCTGACCAAGGCCGGAGGCTGAAGCTGGGAGGCTGGTGGGAAGGTTGCCATGGTGACGTGAGCAATGAAGAGTGCCTGATGAAGGGTGGGGAGCCGAGGGAAGTGGCGAGACCCTGGGACCCTGATGCGAGGATGCGAGCAGAGTGGCAGGCTGTGGGCTGAGCCCGGGGTCTGCTGCTGAAGGAGGTGTGGGCAGGGCTCAGGACAGGGCTCGTCAGAGGCTGTGGCCAGTCCTGCACATCGTTTTGAGGCACTCTAGAATGCTGCTCCAGTGAACTTACCAAGCCCCAGAGCAAAGTATGGAGAGGATGGGGGGAGGACTCGCAGGTATCGGCTGGTCGCTGTGGTGTTCTGGAGAGCGATTACCATCTGTGCAAAGAAGGGGGATCCGGTGCCGTGTGAGGTCAGGCTTGATCGCCACCCTACCCCTGTGTGTGTGTGCGTGCCTGCGTGCGCGCGCGCGTGCGTGTGTGATGCCAGGTGCTGATCACCTTTGTGTGAGCTGTTTCTTTTTAGGACTGGATCAGTCTTTGTGTAGATCTGGGTGGCCTTGGACTCACAGAGATCGGTCTACCTCTTAATCCCGAGTCCTAGGATTAAAGCTGTGTGCCTGGCTTCTATGGCTTGTGGCTGACTTTGCTCTCTGAATCCTCAGGCAAGCTTTAATAAACTATAAATAATGTATCACCACACTACTGGGTGGTACCATTCCCTAGGCATGGGATCCTGAACTATACAGGCCAGGAGAAGGCTAGATGGATGCGGAGGATCCAGATTCTGGTCCTTGTGCTTGCAAAGCAAGCGCTTTACCCACTGAGTCATTTCCTGGCCTATTTTCAATCCATGTTTGCACTGCTGCTATAATCCAGCACCATCAAATTCATTCTGGTCTTCCGTCTTTCTTTACTTACAAATGTCCGTAGCTATAAGACATGCTATTCTGGTTTATGTACACATACATATAAATGGCATAGATTGTTTTTAGGACATATTTTTTAAATTATGTGTATGTGTGCACGTGTCTGTGTGGGGGTACGCCCATGTGCGTGTGGGCATCTGCGGAGACCAGAGACATTGGGATCCCCCGGAGCTTGAGTGACAGGCAGTTGTGAGCCCTCTGAAGTGGAGTCTGGGGTTCAATCATAGCTGCTCTTCAAGAACAGTTACTGCTCTTAACTGTTGACCGTCTCTCAGGCCAGCTTTTGGCTTGTTTGTTTTTTGATTTTTTGAGACAGGGTTTCTCTGTGTAACAGTCCTGGCTGTCCTGGAACTCACTCTGTAGACCAAGGTGGCCTTGAACTCACAGGGATCTGCCCGGTTCTACCCTCCTAGTGTGCCACCACTGCCTGGCCCTGCTTCGATCCTTAAGACAAGGTCTCAGGTAGCCTAGTCTAGCGTCTGATGCCCTGAGTAGCATGGGACCCCTATCTATCCCCCAAGCATGGGAGGACAGGCGTGTCCTGTCTCACCCAGTGTATGGTTCTTTTTTCTTTTTTAAAGTCCTGTGCACCAGGGAGACTTAATGCTGTGCTGCTTATCCTCCTTTAACATACTCCAGAGGGGATGTTGTGCAGGGAGCTGTCACCCACCAGCTGCTGAAGCCAGGTGACAGGCTTATGGGTGTCTTTTTTCCTGCTTCTGGGTATGGTCCAGAAATTCCATGATGTAAAGTAAGATTTCTACCTCGTAAACTGGTCCAATCTCATAATCCGTGAAAAATCCAACTGACGGCTTAGCCAGAAACACGGGGGTATCCGCATAGCTGTGGGAGTTAAGGGGAAGGAAAGGCTGTGAGTTTCATCTGTCTGACCCAGTATAAAGCCGTGACTCATTCATTCACGCCGAGGATGTGGTGGCAGACTGCCCTAACCCCAGCTGCTGGGAGGTAGAGCCAGGGCCACTGAGAACCCAAAAGGAAAGAAATAAGGTCATCTACGCCATCAAAGCTGTTCACAATAGGCTGCTCCTTGGGTTTTCTGCTCATTGTTTACTAAGCAGCTTATAAGACATCTTAGGGCTGAAGAGATGGCTCAGCACATCTTGCTGTGGTAGAGGGACCAGGCTTGGTTTCCTGTACCCACACTGTCAGGCAGCTCACAGCCACCTGAGAGGACAAACAAAGTGAACTTTTCTGGTCCACCACATCCTCCCAGAGACAAAAATCCCACGCGATTTTTGTTAGGTATTTCATCACAGTCATGAAAAAAAAAAAGTCACATAGAAAGGTCAGGTGATCATGGGCCGCCCAGCCCCAGCTCATTTGGATGCCCATAAGGAGACCACACCAGCTCCCAGGGCTTTTTTCCTCCCTTTCTGACTCTAGGTAGGTCTGGGGGGGGGGGTCAAAGGCCACCAGTGGGTCACCCTGAAGGTGTGCTTTCTTTTTCTTCTGAGACACTACTGTGGCTTGCCAAAGTCTAGGGACCTTCCCCAGACCGACTGAGAGCCTCCCAGCCTCTGTAAGGGTCAGAGCTCCTGGGATTCTGAGGGAAGAACGCACCTCAAGTCCGGCTCTGCACTCAGGGACCCTCCTGTCCCTCTTCTCGCTGGCTTCCTTGAAGAGATGATCAGGGACTTGCCTCCGTGTGGTGTGTTAGGCGGGAAAAACCGCGGGTTTTTCAGGAAGTGGTTCCGAGCCTCCATCCTGGCGAGCAGGAGTCTCTCCAGGTCCCTCTGAGGCACCCTTAGGTGTTTCATCCACGCCTTATTCTTTGGCGTACTTGCCTTCTGTGAAGCACATGGAAGCAGCGTTGATAACAGGCAAGGGGACCGCCCGGTCAACCGCGCGAAGCGCAGCCAGCCAGCCGGCCGGCCGGCGCTGACTTCGCCGTGCTCATCTGGACTACCTCCCTGCACAGACTGTCTGGCCCAGCGAAATTCGGGTCTAACCTTGACGGTCTGTTTGCTCCTTTGCCTGGCCTTATGAGTGGAGGCCCAGCTGTCTGTGGTGTGCTCAAACTCGTCGAAATCGATGGGCTTCTTGCACGACTCCTCCGCCTCCTTGTCCCGCTTTGCCTGTAGCATGAAACGCCTCTCACAGCTAAGTGTCAGTTTCAAGCATCCGGGGGTGGGGTTTCCTGTGGCACCAAGGAAGCACGAGTGTTAGCTATGTCCCAGCAAGGAGGTGGGTGACCAAATGAAACCAGAGCCACGGTCGGGCCCCGGTCCCTTCAAAGCTTTCTCGTTCACAACGCCAAATGTTGCTATTCAGCGTATGAGTTATTCCGGGGACTTAACCCCCGTGTTCGGGACAGGGCTACAGGTTAAAATATCTTCCCATTTTCCAGAATGGTTGATTAGCATATAAACAAGTGGACCATTGCTAGACACACGTCCTACGTGTGAGCAATTCTTTAAAAATCCTTCTGTGAGGAACCAGCCTTTGTGCTGGGCTGTTTTATATCTCTAAGACCATGCCCCCCAAGGCTAGACGGAGACTTCTGTCGTTAGCAAGGATGCAATCACACACACACACACACACACACACACACACACACACGTCTTCCCCTCCCTCGCCGTCTGCCCCCTAGCCCATCCTCTCTATTCTCCATATTTGAAAAAGCTGCTCTGTTCCTGAGTGGAGAAGACCTTGGTCCACTGTGCCCGCATCAGTTATTTGCTCATTTGCTTAACCGAGTCTTCAGCTCCTCCCTTTGTGGGCTCATTCAACTACATCTAGACATTTCTGGATTTCTAGGGGCTGGGCAGCCAGCAAGGGTGTCGAACCCACGTGGGAGAGATGTAACTTCTGCCTTGAAAGCATTGAGTAGTGAAGAAAAGACAGCTCAGATGACACCAGTCACATTCAATCATGAGGGAATAACACGGGTGGATGAGGTGGATCTGTTACTGGGGGATGCCCCTGCGGGGGATGCCCCTACAGCTACCTCGGGAAGCCACTGCAGCTACCTCCGGATGTCCCTGCACCCTACCAGGGTGTCTGAGGGCACATACCTTTGGGCGCTGAGCAAAATGGCATGGGATCATTGTAGTAATCCTCTACGCAGATTAAGCGATGTTTTTGCAGCAACTCGTTGTCTATACACCACCGGAAGACTGTCTTCACTGCAGAGAAGGGAACAGGACAGGGGCGTTTAGGCCAGACCCAGGGAGGAGATGCTGAGCTGAGGCCTCTGTGCTCCGGGCCTCCACTTCCCAAGCAAATTCTCAGAGCTGTGGCCAAAGGTTTCCCAGCCACTCGGTGGAGGCCCACACCTGGGCAAAGCTGTGCACTGGGTTATTGAGATTAACTACTCTATGTGGAGTCTGCAATGGCATAAGACAAAGGGTGGTTGATGCTACCATCAGCCCCAGCTCTGGGTTTCCATGAAAACAGCTGGAAAAGTACACACAAATAGCAAAGCAGCAACAATTTCTATTTAAAGAGACAGTACACGGCACACACTCCGAGGACTACTTGCCCTAGAGTGCCCAAGTGGCTCTGCTATTGTTTGGGACTTCTGTTTCTGAGGTCCAGTGGGAAGAGTTGGTGGCTAGCTGGTCCTGTGAGTGGGTCTGTTTTTGTTGATAGATCTGGATTATGCAAGCTTTTCTCTAGTGTGAATGTCCTTTCCCACGAAGTGTCTGATTTTCACCGTATGTGTGCCTAATTATACATAATTAGGTGGTGGTCCATAGAGAAGTTTCCCTCGGAGGACAGTTTGCCATACTATGCATGCATCCAAAACTGGCACAGGCAGCTGTTAGTTCTTGTACATGTTCCAAGGCATGTATGGCAACAGGGGAATTATTGGGGGGTTTTTGTTTTGTTTTTTCCAGTTTTTCAGTATGGCTTTGTAGACCAGGCTGGCCTCAAACTCACAGAGATCTGCCTGCCTATGCCTCCCGAGTGCTGGGATTAAAGGCGAGCGCCACTACCACCCAGCTGGGAATTATTGTTGTGGAAAGAATTTTTTGCACCGTTTGAAGTGGGGTGTATGTGCAGCTTGAAGTAGGCAGGGGTCTCGGGTTGTTTCACTACTAGGAAAGCAGTGTGTGCCTGTGGCTCGCACTGAGGGAGAGTTCGGAGCTGCTAGACATTCCCTCTGCTTCTTGCCTCAACCGAATGCTCCTCTTTACCTGTGGCTCTGCTGGCAGCTAAGAGTTTGAGATGTGCATGCAGAGTGAGCCCTGGCCACCAACAGAGAGGAGCTTCCTTGTCCCTTCATCTCGGAAGCCAGCGGGCAATAAATACAGTTAACTCCCACTGTCCTACTGGCACTTTAGAGAAAGTCATTACTGGAGTGGAAGTTGGTGTTTCTGGTCGATGAGCCAAGAAATAACAGCAAACGCACATGCATATATAATTTACATGTACTATAATACTCTTGTCTAGAAACATTCACTAGAAACAGATGGCAAATGAGGTGACCTCTGGGAGATGTGAGAAGGGACTTTTGCTGGGTGGTGGTGCTCGCCTTTGATCCCAGCACTCGGGAGGCAAGAGACAGGTGGATCTCTGTGAGTTCAAGGCCAGCTTGGTCTTCAGAGTGAGTGAGTTCCAGGACAGCCAGGGCTACACAGCTACAGAGAAATCCTGTCTCAAAACAAACAAACAAACAAAAAAAGGAAGGTGGAAAATGGACTTTCACTGTATTTTGATTACATTTGTTTGTGTATTGAGTGTTGGGGTTGCATGTAGGTGCCACGGTGTATATGTAGAGGTCAGAGGACAAGCGGCAGGAATCGGCTGATCTCCTTCTATTACATGGGTCCCAGGATCGAACTCTAGTTGTGAGTCTTGGCAACAAGTGCCTTTACCCTGCTGGGCCATCTCATCAGATTTGTACTTTAGAGTAGTTAGAAATTGGGAACTCAAATTGAGAAGGCCTGACAGTTCCCATGTCCCTCTGCCCCTGTGCATGTGTAGCCTTCCCCAATTCTGGCATCCTCCACAGAAAACAGATGTATCGCCACCACACGAAGTCCATGTCTTAAGGGAGAGCTCGCCCTTGGTGCTACAGTCCGTGTTTAAACAATCTATAATGCTAGGTATGCCTGGGGCCTTCTTGTGCTGTATTAGAAGTTCCTTTGGGGGTTGGAGACATAGCTCAGTTGGAAGAGTAATTTCCTGGCATAAAGCCATGGGGCCAATCCCCAGCATCCCGTGATGAAGGGACACCTGCTTCTGTCCTCGTGGGTGCTGACAAGGATCCCAAGGTTTGGCCTAAAGTTAACCAGCAGAGCCCTGATGGGAGATGTCATTCTGTATATGTTTCTCATATTGGTTAATAATAAAGCACTGTTGGCCAATAGGAAAGGAAGATAGGAGGGACTAGGAGACAAGGAGGAAATAGGAAGTAGTAAGGAGGAGTCAAGATGGAGAGTCTGGAGAAAGCAGTATGCCGCCGGCTCCCCGGTAAGAGAAATACATAGATCAACAAAAATGGGTTAATAATTATGATAGAGCTAGCCAATATGAAACAAGTAACCGGGCCAACAGTATTGTATCAAATACAGAGTCTCTGCGTATTATTTGGGGCTGGTGGCGTGGCGGTGGGACAAGACCAGCGGTGGCAGGCAGAAAAACCGTACTCGTTACAAATGGCGCCCACGTGGTTAATAAGAACTTCCACTTAAAATTTAACAAAAGCTTAAAAAAGGGTTTTAGAAACAAAAGAACAGAGATAAGCAAGGTTTCTTGGTAACAGCATTTTTCTCGGTTGGACTCTGTTTTGTGAGAGACAAGCAGATATTTGCGCGGCTCCTTTAAGGGAAGATTCCTGACTCAGCATAAGTGGCAAAAAACAGCACAGCTTTTAAATAACTCTGCTAACAATTTATTGGTGTGTATGAGAGATGGCAATGGCAGTGACCACATCTCCAAGCAGGCAGCATGCTTTCTGGGTGGCAGCGCTGTCCAAGGCGGTGAGCACAGCTTTCCGTGCTGGCGGTAAAAGTACCCGCCACCATCTTTGGTAAACCGCGGCTGACACAGCTATGACTTTCATTTTAACAGTGTTGTTGTTTAACAGATAAAGACTCATGGCCAGAAAAAGATAAAGATTTACAGTAAAGACAGATTCACATTAAGAAAATGTGCTAAAAGTTTACAGTGAGTTTTAAAAAAATACATAGGCATATAAAAAAAAAAGATAAAAAGCTCAGAGAAAATCTGGTTACTGTATGCTATTATGTTGTCTCTACATTGTTTGACTGCTGAAAAAATAACAACAACTAATAAAGGAAATGCTGCTAGATTAATTCAATTTATATATTTTAAAAATGCTTTGACTCCAACATTTAAGTTCAAGGACAAGTTACTGGGAAAAAGGATTTCTATTTTTGTTTCCACAGAAATTAAAAAGCTGTGGATTCCTTCCAGACTAATGTGGTTTGAGCAAGCCAGACCCCCTAAAACAGAGTTCCTGATGATCCAACATTCAAAACAACTTAAATAAAACAGACTTACAGATTACAGCCAGGATTTCTGCGTCTTCTCAGGATCCCCCATGACAGCGCCCCCTGTCAGCAGGAAGTAGTTTGGAAAGAACGACGCCCAAATTCCCAAATATTGTTTATAAATGTTTGTTTTCATTTAAATGGACTTGGTTATAAATGGTTAATGATCACAGCCAATTCTTTTTAAAGGTAAAAAGGGAATTATGGTATAGATATGAATACTTTGTTTTGGAATGGATTTTCATTTATTGATACAATTTAAGGTCAATTTTGTGATGTATATATTTCTCCTTTTGTTTAGGTATTGTGTTTATATAGCTCATTTAGAAATGTAATGTATAATGTAGTACAGATTATAGATAATTACCTATGATAGTCAAAGCTTAGAGTTAAGTTAGTTAGGTTTTCAAGATAAACAGAGATGTATTTGAGATAGATAGACATTCTTCAAACCTTTCAAAGACCTACAGAATATGGCATTTAAAATGGTTTAGGGTTTTTCTTGACAATGAGACATAATTGTTCCTGGCAACACCACCTGCATCAGAAAGGAAGATGAAGATGGACATTGAAGAAACTCATTATGGAGTTTACTTCCAATATGGCAAGACTAGCCATTTGGACAAGATACTGCTCTTGTCTGGACTGTTTGACTTTATGCTGTATAAACTGGACATGCAGGATCCACAGAAAAGTGACTGCTGATTCAAGATGGACATTGCTACAGAATTCCTGCTTCATGGAAGAGTCTGCGAGACAGTATGCAGGACACAGAGAAAAGTGACTGACAAACTGTGAATACAAGAAGACAGTTTAAAGTTTCCTGCATTGCTGAAGAGTCTGCCAGACACACTATGGCCTATGGGCTGAAGATGGAAGATTACAAAAGAACTTCGGGTGACCAGGCAGTGAGTTGTCTCTGTCATTTCTAGAGCTTATATATTATCCTTCTGTGGTCTTTGAAGGAGTTAAAGACAGGTAGTTATGGTTATAGTTTTCATTAGTTAGGATTAAAGATTTGTTACTTAGACTTTAGACACACAAAGATAGAATAGAAGATAAAATATTTTCTTCAAATCTTGCTAAATGTTAATGGACTAAATATTGTTAACTGTGAGTCTTACTTGATAACTGTTGTATAATATATTTTGCTATGTTAAGGTTAAAACCCTTCTTTTTATTTAGACAGAAAAGAGGAGATGATGGGAGAGGTCATTCTGTATGTTTCTCATACTGGTTAATAATAAAGCACTGTTGGCCAATAGGAAAGGAAGATAGGAGGGACTAGGAGACAAGGAGGAAATAGGAAGTAGTAAGGAGGAGTCAAGATGGAGAGTCTGAAGAAAGCAGTATGCCGCCAGCTCCCCGGTAAGAGAAATACATAGATCAGCAGAAATGGGTTAATAATTAAGGCAGAGCTAGCCGATAAGAAACAAGTAACAGGGCCAACAGCATTGAATCAAATACAGAGTTTCTGTGTGTTATTTGGGGCTGGTGCGGCAGCATGACAAGACCAGAGGCGGCAGGCAGAAAAACAGTACTCGTTACAGAGCCCGAAGCAGAAGCCACTCCTAGCACAGCGGAGGGAAGGGAAGGGGGCCGAGCACGGGATATTACAGGCTAAGGAAGAGGAGGCCAGGGGAAGCAGAAGTTTCTCAATAAACCGTCTGATGGCAGCTCCAAAATGCACAGAGGGCATGGCTCGCCGCTCGTGCAGAGGGTTGCATCTGGTGGCTCACAAACTGCCTGAAACCAGCTGCTGGGGAGCTGATACTCTCTTCTGGCTTCTGAAGGCTCCTGCAGTCATGTGTATATACCCATACAGACACGCACATATACATAATTGGAAGTCAATCACCTGCAAGCTGCTGCTTCTGGAGGCTCTCCTTCCAGAACTCCCTCGGGGCGTTTTCTGATGGGACCAAGGGGGAAGACACACTTTGACAGTGAAGTCCCTGACCCCCTTGACAGGGATGACTTTGGTAGGGAATAATGGCAGTGCCAAGGGAACACAATCCAGCCTCGTTCTTAAGGACTTTGGTGATGGCCATGTGATGTCGAGAAGGATCTTCCTCCCTTCTCCTCAGGCCTCCGGGGGGCTGGAGGTCAGGATGGGAAGAGCACGTGCTGGAGAAGCCAGAGGCATCAGCTCCTCTGGCACTAGAGTTACAGGCAGTTGTGAGTTGCCTGATGGGTGCTGGGAACTGCACTCAGATCCTCAGCAAAAACAGTGCATGCTGTAATCACTGAGTGGTTAGAGCATCCACCCCGCCCGCCCACACCTGTAGCACTGACCACGCCCATTTGGGCATGGTCACAGGTGTGGACATGATGGGGTTGGGAAAGCTAGCTCTCTCTCTCTCTCTCTCTCTCTCTCTCACACACACACACACACACACACTTCTGGTCAGGTCACCGAGGGTAGCCTGGGTGGATCCTTGGAGCAGGAACTTGCAGTGGCCATCTGTTTCTTATGTGACTCCTCCCCAAATAAAGTTATAATAACCTATTTTGAGCCTAGTCCTGTGAGTCTTGATCCGTGCATCCACACCACCTCCCCAACCCTCACCAAGGCAGTTTCTTTATCAGATCACTGAAGGGTATCTTTCCATATCAGACCTGGACCTGTAAAAATCTTTTGCTGGCCCTGAAGATGGCCTTCTTCCTTCTGGGAAGTCTGGACTTCCTTCACTGTCCCCCAGGCTCCTGAGCACAGCACTGCAAGTGGCTGGTTATTCCAATCTCCACAAGCTAGTGTGGACCGGACCGGTAACCAGCATGAGCAGGTAAGTCACCCTATAGAGTTCTGACCTTTTAAAGGCTCCTCGACCTGGACACAATTGTGTTAGTGGGTGGGGAAAGCCTGCTTTGTATCTGATAGAACAAAAACAGTTGGGGGGGTGTCTCTGTCACCAGTTAACGATGTCCTGGGGTTGGCTGCCCTGCCCTGACATGCAGGGACCAGATGGACCTCTGTAAGGATGGTCTAGGCTCTTTTTTCCTCTACCACTTTTGAAATAAAAGAAAACGCGGGGCTGGAGAGGTGGCTCAGAGGTTAAGAGCACTGGCTGCTCTTCCAGAGGTCCTGAGTTCAATTCCCAGCAACCACATGGTAGCTTACAATCACCTGTAATGAGATCTGGTGCCCTCTTCTGGCAGACAGAACACTGTATATATAATAAATACATAAATAAAAATAAATTTCTAAAAAATTAAAATTATATATAAAATATATGAAATAAAAGAAAATGAATCACTAGCAGAAGGATGAGAAGCCAGATGATGTCTGATCACAGCTGGGTTCCTGTGTGGTGGGAGGTGGAGGCAGGCAAATTCCTGGGGTCACCGGCAAGCCAGCCTAACCTACCGGGAAAGCCTGGCATAAAAGGTCAGAGGAGGGAGAGGAAGCCATGGAGAGGAAGCTGGAATCTAAGTGGGACCTGTGGGCCAGGAACCAGCGTCACACCAATGCTAAGTCCCTGGCTTGGAGAGTTAACTGCTGGCCTTGTGGACCACCGCTCTTCTGGAGAGTCCAAACACCCTGCTTTCGTACTGACTGACTGTCATGCCTGTAACTTGCTCCCCATGTTCAGGGAAGGGTGGGCAAGGGAGTGGATGTAGTTCAATGCCATCAGCTGGAAAAGCAGAGGCTTCACACCTACCTGGGGGCAGCTTGATAGGGGTCTCCAGGACATGTAGTCTGTTCTGTTTGGTGGCATGTACTGTTTCTGCAAGATCCCGTGCACGGGCCTGGATGATATGCCTCTCCAACATGGTGACTTCATCCAGACGCTGTTTATAGATCTCTCGAACCTGGCGGATGTGCATCAAAATGCACAGGAATCTGATGAGAGCCCACATCTTGGCACCACCCTATGACCTTCGACATTAGACACAGTTTCACAGTGTGGTCAGTAAGAGTCAAGCTTGGCACTCTGTCTCAACTCAGGAAGGGCCCTGCTCTCGAGCTCCATCACACATAGGCAGCGGACTTCCCCTAGTGCCGGCCTCTTATCCCATTGGAAAGGACTCACCTGAGGCGGCATATCTTTGTAGCTTCCACATCTAGTATACATAAAGCTGTGGCTATTTTGATCCTAACAGAAACAAGATCAGGCGATGTGCTATCCAGATAATACCCAGGTGATATACTGCATCTTTGGAAGGGCAGGAGACCGCAGAGAGGGCTCTGCTGCTAACAGGTGACCTTCCAGAGGACCCGAGTTCAGTTCCCACACCAGTCAGCTCGCAATTGCCTGATACTCCAGCTCCACGGGAATCAGCCATTCCCTCCTGCCTCATGTGTTAACACACACATACACATACATAAACATTAAATAAACACCTTTAAATGCCGCCTGTTTCTTTGTGTGTGGGTGACTACATACGCAGGAGCCAGAGGAAGATATTAGGGGGTGTGTTTCTTCCCCTTCACCACATTCTCTTGAGACAGGGTCTGTCACTGAACTTGGAAGCAGGCTTGACGGCCATTCCCACCTTCACCCTCAACAGTGTGGGGTTACAGGCGGACACTCGGCCATGCCCAGTGTTTTATGTGGGTGCTGCAAGCTCTCTCATCCACGGAACCTTCTCTCCAGGCCCCGATCTACTGACTTTTCCAAGTTCCTGGGTCCCTGTCTCCTTCTGTGACTTAATACCGCTTTGTTTTGGTTTTTTTTTTTTTTTTTTACCCTAGCAAACCCCAGAGTCCAACATGGTTGCCCTGGCATATGCTTCAGGACTAGTTAAATTGGCAAGCCGATCAGCCAAGCTCCTTATCCGTATTCGTGAGACTGGAGGCAAAGTATTCACAGGGCACTAAGAGAGTAGCAAATGGGGAGAGCACTCCTCATTGCTTTTCTAGGACTCAGAGATGTCTGTTTAGTCATTCTTATTTGCCTTATCTATTTGGTTATCTATCGGCGAGTGCACGTATGCTATTGTGAGCCTATGTATGGATGGCAGAGAACAACGTATGGGACTGAGTTCTCCCCCTCTGTGGATCTTGGGGAAGAAAACTCAGGTCGTCAGCTTCAGCAGCAAATGCCTTGACTCTCCGATCCATCTCCTCAGCTCTAGCCATTCTTTCAAAGTAGATAAATGGGTACACAGTGGAGGCTAGGAGATGGTGGCTAAATCTTCTTGTGGTCAGGAAGCCTCCTCTGACAAAGCAGTAGCCAGAGCAGCCTTGAACATAAAATACTGTGCTTAACAAGTTGGCTGTCCCATTCCTTGGACATTCCAGAAAGCCCAGATCCTAATTCTTGGATGCAAGAGTCAGAGTCCTACCCAAAGCCATCAGTTAATGATTCTTTACTGAACTGGCTCACTTAATCCTGAAAACAAATACAGAGTAGATTTTGTCATTATGGAGGGTTTTTGTTTGTTTGTTTGTTTTTTTGTCTCACTATTGTAGCCCTGGATATGGACTAGAACTCTCTATATAGACCAGGCTGACCTTGAACTCACAGAGGTCCGCCTGCTTTTGCCTTCCAAGAGCTGGGGTTAAAAGTGTGTGCCACCATTCCTAGCATTGCCCTTCCCTCCCATTACATATGAAAAAATCTAAGGCATACAGAAGTTAAGAAAGAAAGAAATGCCTGAAGTGGCAGGGGCAGGGATAGAGCTGGAGGAAGTATTGCAAGCGTGTGCTAGTCAACACACAATAAAGCATTTCTGCTAGTCAACACACACTACAGCATTTCTGCTAGTCAACACACAACACAGCATTTCTGCTAGTCAACACACACTACAGCATTTCTGCTAGTCAACACACAATACAGCATTTCTGCTAGTCAACACACAATACAGCATTTCTGCTAGTCAACACACAATACAGCATTTCTGCACACTACAGCATTTCTGCTAGTCAACACACAATACAGCATTTCTGCTAGTCAACACACAACACAACATTTCTGCTAGTCAACACACAATACAGCATTTCTGCAGCCAGAAATGGGAAAGACCAACAGCCGCCGAGCCTGTGAGGAGACCTCAGATGGAGAGACCAGTGCTTGAAACAATCAGATTAGAGTTGTCTCTGTGGGTAGAGCCGTGTCTCTCCACAGCAGTAACTAAGCAGTAACTGCAGAGCTCCACAGCCATCACAGAACTGAGAACAGGGAACTGTTGAACTGTGAGCCCCCCCCCCCCCAGAGGGAGTTCTCTGTCCTCCCTCCCTCTCCCCTTCCTCTCCTCCCCTCCCTCCCTCCCCCTCCCTCCAAGATCACAGAAGACCGGGTGTAAACAAACAAACAGACAGACTGGGGAAGGATGGAATGAGGTGCCACCACTGGGCTATTGAACTCCTGATTCCCACTCCCTGCCATGGGGGGGGGAGGGAGGGGGCGTGTCACAGCTCAGCAGGAAGCACTTGCGCCTGCGCAGCCATCTCACCAGGTGTAAGTCACTTGTGATGGATTCGGGGTTACTGAATTCTCACTGCCTGAGACTAAGCACGGCACGCAGTAGGTAGTTAATCAATGGTCCGACAAGGAATTAATGAAGTTGGGGTCATGTCGTGTAAGGGGCAAGGAAAGGACAGAAAGGAGTGGAGAAGGAAAAGGACCGAGAGGTTTCCATAAGGGAGAGTCCTCAACTGTGGGCCGGTGGCAAGGGCAGGCTCATCGAGGAAGACTGTTTTGTCCCCAGTGCAGAAGAGAAAACCACGTTGCTGACCTAGAGATCCGAAAATATGGGCAAGAATGCCTCTGCCATGTTTGTGGTGAGTCACCCCAAGGGAGGAGGGTGATTGGATTCCATCACCCCCAAGGAACAAACCGTCGAGCGGTGTGCCCAGTCGCTCGTTTCATTTATATTTGCAACACAAGACGTGTGTGTGTGTGTGTGTGCGCGCGCGCGCGCGCGCAGAGAACGGAGTTGGAGATGCCACTTTTACTCGTATGTGTAGAGTTTGGACAGCATCCCGCGCCGCACCCTGAGCATACCCTGGAGTCCGTACCCGCTATGTACCTGCTGCAGCTGGTCCACAAACTCCTCGTGGCGCGCATCCTCACTGCCGCGGGCGTTGATCAAACTGTCACTCAAGTCTTTTCCGATCACCTGGGCGGTGTACAAGTTTCGGAAGACGCGGGCAAGCAGGTGTGAGATGTCCTGCGAGCGCCGCGAGGCGGGGCGCAGACGCAGCATCTGCGGCTCCGGGATCGGCGGGAGCGCAGGGAACCCGGCGCGGAGGGACCGCGTGGGGAAGCCGAACTGGCAACCATCGGTGAAGGTGCTCCAGGACCGCAAGAAGGATTTTCTGGTGAGCAAGTTTGGGGTGCTGGAGTCGGCCGGGTGCGGGGTGGACTCCCACAAGGTCTCTAGGGATGTATCGCCCGGGGAAACTGCAGATCGCTGCTCTTCCAAGCTCCCCGGCTCCATGGCAACGGAGACGCTGCAGACTCCGCGTCCCACTTCTGCTTCCGGCTCCGCCCCTTCCGTCTGCTCCCGGAGAACGTCATCCGTGTCGTCATCGCAAAGGCTTGCATTTCTAACGTCTAGCTAGGTGTTCTAGGCTGGCCTCAAACTCAGCAGCCTCCCGCCTCCCCCTCAGCTTTTCGCGAGCTGGACACAGGTGTGTGCTACTGTGCCCCTAACATCACTTTTATTCTTTTCTCGGGAAGAATGTATTTTTACTTTGTGTGTCTCCGTGTGTCTGTGTGCACGTGAATGCAGTTGCCGGTGCAGGGAGGGCGTCAGATCTCCGGGATCTGGAGTGATAGGTAATTGTGAGATCCCCTGACACGGTTCTGGGAAAATGACCTCTGGTCCTCTGCCAGAGAACTACATGTGCTCTTAAAGGATGGGCCACCTCTTGGGTCCCAGCATCGCCCTTCCTACAGGTGAGTTTATTATGAAGTTTAATGGACAGAAGGATTCATGCCGGTTTGGCTGCAAAGCCGTGTTTCTTACTACCAAAGTGCCTCCATCCTCTCCTCTCCTCTTCTCTTCTCTTCTCTCTCTCTCTCTCTCTCTCTCTCTCTCTCTCTCTCTCTCTCTCTCTCTGTGGCGGGGCATGACTCCATCCTTTCTTAAACCTGCTCAGAAGTTCTTCACACATATTGGTTCTTAAAAACCAGTTTGTTGTCTTTGCTTTTGCTTTGAGTCAGGGTCTTTTCTTTTCTGAAGCTCAGGCCACCTTGGGGGTCACTCTAGAGACCTGGGCTGTGGCTTTCCAGGAGTCTTTCCTGCTTCACAGCCCGGCTAGGGCTGCTGAGGCGTCCAGCCTAAGGGAGCAACCAGCTCCAAGGTGAAGGCCACTGTTGTGTGAGCCAGTCTAGTAGCCCCCTTTGTAATTTATTTATTTATTTTGTTTTTTTCCAGACAGGGTGTCTCTGAGCAGCTTTGACACCTATCCTGGAACTCGCTCTGTAGACCAGGCTGCCCTTGAACTCAGAGACCCGCCTGCCTCTGCCTCCCGAGTGCTGGGGTCACAGGTGGGCATCTCACTGCCTGGCCTCATTTGTAATTTGTACACATTGTACTGGTGTCCTCCCTCTAGAGAACCCCGGCCAATACAAGGCATGAGGTCTAGCTGGGTGTGATGGTCCATGCCTTTAAACCCAGCACTCAGAGGGCAGAGACAGGGGGATTTCTGTGAGTTTGAGGCCAGCCTGATGTACATAGCAAGTTCTACACCAGGCAGTATTATATAGTGTCAAAAACAAAAATAAAAACGAAGACTAAGGTGTATTTTATGTGTATGGGTGTCTTGCCTACATGTGTGTATGTGCCCTGTATTGGCAGTTCCTTACCTCAGAGAGTGGGAAAAGCAGAGTGTGTGTGTGTTCGTGCGTGCATGTGAGCATGCATTCGCATTTGTGTGTGTATGTGTGTATGCGTGTGTGCATGCGCATGTGTGTATGTGTGTGTATGTGTGTGTGAGCATGCGTGTGTGTGCGTGTGTCGTGTGTGAATGTGTGTATGTGCGTGTGAGCATGTGTGTGTATGTGTGTGTGAGCATGCATGTGTGTGTGCATGTGTGAATGTGTGTGTGTATGTGTGTGAGCATGTGTGTGTATGTGCGTGTGAGCATGTGTGCGTGTGTAAATGTGTGTATGTGCGTGTGAGCATGTGTGTGTGAGTGTGTGCGCACGCACACGAGCGTGCGTTTGTGTGTGTGTGCATGCACGTGTGCGTGTGTGCATGTGTGAATGTGCGTGTGAGCATGTGTGTGAGCGTGCGTGTGTGTGAGTGTGCGTGTGTGTGAGCGTGCGTGTGTGTGAGCATGTGTGTGTGCGTGTGTGAATGTGTGTGTGTGAGCGTGTGTGTGCATGCATGTGTGTGTATGTGCGTGTGAGCCTGTGTGTGTGTGCGTGCGTGTGAAGTCATGCACTGAAAGGGTCAGTCTGTGACTGTCTCTCACTACGCTTCCCTGCAGGTGAAGAGCTAACCCAGCCAGGTGAAATGCCCATGCCTGCCTTCCAGGCAACTGGGACCGTGGAAGTATTTGCCCAAATATCCTGAGTCCATCTCCAGGACCATGGTAGGCCTCCTCTTTAACTCCCTGCTCTAGTGCTGACTGGGATGTGCAGTAAGGGTAGCTTCAGAGCAGAAGGAACATGGGCAGACAGGCCATCTGTCCAATCTCCTACACACATTCCAGGTTCCGACTGGAGCAGGGAAGTTTTGTGTGGGAGAATAGCAGAATAGTAGCAGAGTGTGCGTGACCCTAATGTAAAGGAGGGTCTCCCCAGACAGCCCTACTGTAAGGGGAAGGTCTCCCCAGACAGCCCTACTGTAAGGGGAGGGTCTCCCCAGAACAGTCCTACTGTAGGGGAGGGTCTCTCAAGAACAGCCCTACTGTAGGGGAGGGTCTCTCCAGAACAGCCCTATTGTAAGGGGAGGGTCTCCCCAGACAGCCCTACTGTAAGGGGAGGGTCTCCCCAGACAGCCCTACTGTAAGGGAGGGTCTCTCCAGAACAGCCCTACTGTAAGGGGAGGGTCTCCCCAGACAGCCCTACTGTAAGGGGAAGGTCTCTCCAGAACAGCCCTACTGTAAGGGGAGGGTCTCCCCAGACAGCCCTACTGTAAGGGAGGGTCTCCCCAGACAGCCCTATTGTAAGGGAGGGTCTCCCCAGAACAGCCCTACTGTAAGAGGAGGGTCTCCCCAGACAGCCCTACTATAAGAGGAGGGTCTCCCCAGAACAGCCCTACTGTAAGGGAGGGTCTCCCCAGACAGCCCTACTGTAAGGGAGGGTCTCCCCAGACAGCCCTACTGTAAGGGAGGGTCTCTCCAGAACAGCCCTACTGTAAGAGGAGGGTCTCTCCAGAACAGCCCTATTGTAAGGGAGGGTCTCCCCAGAACAGCCCTACTGTAAGGGAGGGTCTCCCCAGACAGCCCTACTGTAAGGGAGGGTCTCTCCAGAACAGCCCTACTGTAAGAGGAGGGTCTCTCCAGAACAGCCCTATTGTAAGGGAGGGTCTCCCCAGAACAGCCCTACTGTAAGGGAGGGTCTCCCCAGACAGCCCTACTGTAAGGGAGGGTCTCTCCAGAACAGCCCTATTGTAAGGGAGGGTCTCCCCAGAACAGCCCTACTGTAGGGGAGGGTCTCCCCAGACAGCCCTACTGTAAGGGAGGGTCTCTCCGAACAGCCCTACTGTAAGGGGAGGGTCTCTCCAAACAGCCTTATTGTCTGGGGAGCCAGAACGGGTGGCCCTGTCATTAGCAGCTGCTCCACTGTGGGAGCTCCTGGGAGCCCTTCCCTGATGTGCAGGAAGGCAGGACGACTGACTCTTGCTGTTATTTTTTTTTTCTCCACTCTCTGTCCAGAAGTCCTCAGAGAAAGTCCCAGGGAGTCTGAGCCTGTCAGCAGAGAGGCCCCGAACCCCTGTCCTTTGCATGCCCCATCTTACTGTCTGCTCAGCTGACCTGTTCAAGGCCATGTCTGCCACATCCAGTCCAGAGGCAAAGGCCACTCCTGTCTTCATGTGGTGGCTCTGCCACCCCCTCCCTGTCTCTCAGTCCAGCTTTCCTCTTCCCTCATCATCTCCCCCTCCCCTCCAGCTTCCTGTCTCTGTTCTTCTAGAATCGCTGTGCCTGGCTAAACTCCACCCACTTCTGATCCTGCCAGCCACAGCATTCGATTTCTGTTCAGTTTCTGGATGTCCAGTCACCTCCCCAAGGGGACTCCCCAGGCACAAACGGAATTCCCGGTGAGCTCCTCTGGTCTTTCATAGTCTCCCCTGCAGCCTGCAGCTTGTGTTCATCTGTCTCTTGACTTCCAACACCTTCTTTTACTTGACTTATTTTTTCTTTTTTACTTTCATACGTCAAACATTCTCTATTATTGTGATTCACAAAACAACCTCAAACAGTGCACAAAGTTTCTGTCACCCCAGCGACTTGAGAAACCGAGGCAGGAGGATTGCTACATATTTGTATATACTTTGTGCACTGTATCATAATTATGTGTGGAAATATGCTGGAATTCCTGCACCAAAGTCTGTACATTTTAGCACTGGGCTCGGGAACTGATTGTATCACAGTAGATGGCCAATCAGCGTTGTGTGAGGGCTTCGGGGTATTTTTTTGTTTACTGCATATTTGTATGTGCAGGTGTGTGGTGCATGAGGAGGCCAGAGGTCAGCTTCTGCTTTCTTGCTATTTCTATGTTTGCTTGCTGGAGACAGTGTCTTACTGTGCAGCTCTGGCAGAAATGGGACTAAGCATGTGGAGCTGGGACTAAGCATGTAGACCTGGGACTAGTCATGCAGACCTGGGACTAGTCATGCAGATCTGGGACTAGTCATGCAGACCTGGGACTAAGCATGTAGACCTGGGACTAGTCATGTAGACCTGGAACTAGGCATGTAGACCATACTGGCCTCAGTCTCAGGAATTATCCTGCCCCTGCCTCTTGAGTGCTGGAATTAAAGGTGTGCAATACTGTGTCCCAAGCACATTGCCTTGTGAGACAGGGTCTCCCATTGGCCTGGACTCTCCAAGCAGGCTAGGCTGCCAGTGAGCTGCTCTCTGCCTCCTCAGCACTGGGATTACAAGCATGTGCTGCTACACCCGGCATTTTTTTATTGGGTTTGAACGTGATTCCTCACTCATGTGTACACAAGGACTTGCTGAGCTGTCTCCTCAGAACACTGGACATTGCTTATTTATTTAATTTTGTTTTCTCGAGACAGGGTTTCTCTGTGGCTTTAGAAGCTGTTCTGGAACTCTCTGTAGACCAGGCTGGTTTCGAACTCACAGAGATCCGCCTGCCTCTGCCTCCTGAGTGCTGAGACTAAAGGCGTGCTGGGACTGAAGGCCTGAGCCACCACCGCCCGGCAACACTGGGCATTTTAAATATGCTTTGAATCATATCTTCAATTTCACCACTAGCCCCCACATCTCCAGCCTGAACTGCCTTGTACTGGACATCATC